AGTTCTACACAAGCATCCACTGTACCCCTGTCCTTCGGGCACCCCAAACTCAGGTACAAAGCCAAACACATCTCTCTTGAGGCCTCGATGTCCTCATCTGCAGAACAATAGTGCACTTTATAAGGTTGTTGTGGGATTAAATGAGATGATATAGGTGCCTGGCACATTTTCGATGATCAATGAATTCCAGCTGCTGTTACTATCTTCCCCCTCTCCCCAACCTCCCCTGCCGCTAGACTGTAAGCTCCTTCAAGACAGAGCTGTGTCTTATCTTTGGATCCCCAAAGATTCAAGGCTGGAATAAAGTAGGTGCTTATCAATGCTGGATGAATTTATGAAAGATATGCATTAATTAGGCCCCAAAGAATTTCAAGTTTACTCTTCCCGAGAGGGCTGATATCATTAAAGGATCAGTTCTGAGGGAGTCTGTCCCGTGTTACCAACATTGCTCACCCAAGCCCCACTCCCTGGGCTAGGAGCCTCCCCAGGAAGCCTGGGGTGGGCACCAGTGGCGATGTGGGAAGACTGGGTTGGATAAGATGCCCTTGGTAAAGCTCCACCCCATGGTGGACTTAAGTCCAAGTTCACCGCACATCTGGGTGCTGTTTCCCTGAAGCTGCATTCCTCTATCAGCATTCTGGCCAGGAGTGAACCAGCAGGAGGAGGGAGGGAGTGTGGGTGGCGGGACACGTGGATCAGGAAATGAACTCCGCCATCTTGTTCTGCCCCCTGGGAGTCGCCAGGATTTGCTAGGGCCACGGGGACAGAGAACCTCTGAAAGAAGGCAGCTGGGGATACAGCAGCCCCCTCCTGCTCCTTATCTGCCGCCTGCTTATCAGTCATCAAGATAAGCCAAAGCTGAGAGCTGTCTGGGCCGGAGCCACAAGGGAGAACATAATTAAAAAGACACTGCTGGCCTGGCAGAGAGGGCGGGAGCACCCAAGGATCCTCAAGGGGACATGAGGAGGACCTAGAGGGGAAGGGTTCCCTTCTTTGAGAAAAGGCAGAGTAATCAGCACTCAGTGAACAGCCTTGCAAATAAGTAGCAACAGGCTACCAGCCCATGGCAGCCATGCCTGGCTCATACACCACGGAAGGAAAACCCAGAGAGAATCTAACCTCAAATGTGTATTCCACACCCTTCGTTTGACTTTGCTTCCCATCTCTACCCCAACCCATCCCTATCCCTATCAAAGACAATGATTACCTGAGGGGGTCTCAGGAGTCTAACAGATAACAGATACATTGCCCTGAGAAGCGCTATGAAGCCTTCCATGATGGAATGATGGCAGTCATCCATTCATTTAATCAGCACTGAGGATACAATGGGAAGCAAATAGACACAGCCCAGGCCCCCCAGGAGCACACGCTCTAGAGGAGATGACAGACAATGACAAAATAATCTACAGAAACAACACGTATCCCTACACACTGATGGGAGTATCCTGAGGGAGAGAGACTCAGCTCTATAAGAGGCAGACGAAGGATGCTGGGCACGGGTGGTCTGGCTTCCCTGTGAGGGCGACCCTGAGTTGACACTGAAGGATGAGTAGGAGGTTACTAGTTGAAAAGTGAGTTGTGGGGTGAACCTTCCAGGTGGCAAGTACAAAGGTGGGACAGCACAGAACACACTGAGAAATGGAATGGAAGCTGGGAGACCCACAAAGTATGTTTGGGAACATGGTTATTGATGAGCTGGAGGGGCCAGCAGCACCAGACCACACAGGGCCCTAGGCCACCTTAAGGGTTTTGGTCTCCATCCTAGGAGCAACAGGAAACCACTGGTGGGTGAAAGAGGATGGCAGGGATGATGGAGACCTGTCCAATTTGTGGGTTGCTATGTTCGTCTGCCACTGAATAGAGAATGGGTTTCAGTGAGGGAGGGGGGGCAGTAGATTTAAGAGGTCAATGAGGAGCTGTGGTCCAGATAGAGATGGTGGTGGCTTGGACAAGGATGCTGGTGGCAGAGAAGGAAAGACATGGATGGATGCCAGGGCTTCTCCAGAGATAAATCACAAGCCATGGCAATGGATTGGGTGTAGGAGGTGGGGAAAAGAGGTGCCAGAAATGCCTCACAGGCTGTTGGCCTGCACACCTGGGGGGATGGTGGCTCCCCTCACTTTGGTACAGACATACCTCAGAGATATCTTGAGTTTGGTTCCAGACCACCACAATAAAGGGAATATTGCAATAAAGCAAGTCACAGGAATTTTTTGGTTTCCTAGTGCATATAAAAGTTATGTTTACACTATACTGTAGTCTATTAAGTGTGCAATAGCATTATGGCTAAAAAAACAATGTATATACCTTAATTAAAAAATATTTTGTTGCTAAAAAAGGCTAACCATCATCTGAGCCTTTAGCAACTTGTAATCTTTTTGCTGGTGGAGGGTCTTGCCTCAATGTTGATGGCTGCTGACTGATCAGGGTGGTGGTTGCTGAGGGTTGGTTGGTTGTGGAAATTTCTTAAAATAAGACAACAATGAAGTTTGCTGTGTGGATTGACTCTTCCTTTCACAAACGATTTCTCAGTAGCATGCAGTGCTGTTTGACAGCATTTTACCCCCGGTAGAACTTCTTTCAAAATTGGAGTCAATCCTCTGAAACCCTGCCACTGCTTTATCAACTAAGTTTATGTATTATTCTAAATCCTTTGTTGTCATTTCAACAATCTTTACAGCCTCTTCACCTGGAGTAGCTTCCATCTAAAGAAACCACTTCCTTTGTTCATCCGTAAGAGGCAACTCCACATCCATTAAAGTTTTCTCATGAGATTGCAGCAATTCAGTCCCATTTTCAGGCTCCACTTCTAATTCTAGTTCTCTTGCTGTTTCCACCACATCTGCAGTGACTTCCTCCACTGAAGTCTTGAACCCCTCAAAGTCAGCCAGGAGGGTTGGAATCAATTTCTTCCAAACTGCTGTTAATGTTGATATTTTGACCTCTTTACTTTGCCCAGATCCATCAGAGGGATCACTATGTACGACAGCTGTTGACTTACAAGATGTATTTCTTAAATAATAAAACATGAAAGTCAAAATTACTCCTTGCTCCATGGGCTGCAGAATGGATGTAGTGTTAGCAGGCATGAAAACAACGTTAATCTCATTGTTCATCTCCATGAGAGCTCTTGGGTGACCAGATGCATTGTCAATGAGCAGTCATATTTTGAAAGAAATCTTTTTTTTCTGAGCAGTAGGTCTCAACATTGGGCTTAAAATATTCAGTAAACCATGTTGTAAACTGATGTGCTGTCATCCAGGCTTTGTTGCTCCATTTCTAGAGCACAGGCAGAGAGGATTTAGCATAATTCTTAAGGGCCCTAGGATTTTTGGAATGGTAAATGAGCATTGGCTTCAACTTAAAGTCACCAACTGCATTAGCCCCTAACAAGAGAGTCAGCCTGTCCTTTGAAGCTTAGAAGCCAGACATTGACTTCTCCTCTCCAGCTATGAAAGTCCTAGATGGCATGTTCTTCCAACATACGGCTGTTTCATCTACACTGAAAATCTGTTGTTTAGTGTAGCCCCCTCATGAATTATCTTAGCTGGATCTTCTGGAGAACTTGCTGCAGCTTCTACATCAGCACTGGCTGCTTCCCCTTGCCCTTTTATGTTACGGAGACGGCGTCTTTCCTTAAACAGCATGAAACAACCTCTGCTAGCTTCAGACTTTTCTTCTGCAGCTTCCTCACCTCTCTCAGCCTTCATGGAATTGAAGAGAGTTAGAGCCTTGCTCTGGATGAGGCTTTGGCTTAAGGGAATGTGGTAGCTGGTTTGCTCTTCTGTCCAGACCACTCGAGCTTTCTCCACATCGGCGATAAGGCTGTAGCGCTTTCCCACCATTCGTGTGCTCACTGGAGCAGCACGTTTAATTTCCTTCAAGAGCTTTTCCTTTGCAGTCACAACTTGGTAACTGGCTCAAGAGGCCTGGCTTCTGGCCTGTCTCAGCTTTTGACACGCCCTTCCTCACTACGCTTAATCATTTCTAGCTTTTGATTTAAAGTGAGACACCTGTGACTCTTCCTCCCGCTTGAACACTTAGAGGCCATTGTAGGGTTGTTAACTGGCCTAGTTGCAGTATTGTTGTGTCTCAGGGAACAGGGAGGCCCAAGGCAAGGGAGAGAGATGGGGAACGGCTGGTCAGTGGAGCAGTCAGAACACGCACAACAGGGATCAGTCAAGTTCACCATCTTACACGGGTGCTGTTTGCGGCGCCCCAAACAATTACAATAGTAACATCAAAGATCACTGATCACAGGTCACCATAACAAATATAATAATAATTTTAAAAGCTTGAAATATTTTGAAAATTACCAAAATGTGACACAGAGACGTGAAGTGAGCAAGTGCTGTTGGGAAAATAGCACCGATAGGCTTGCTCAACACAGGGTTGCCACAAACATTCAATTTGTAAAAAACGCAATATCTGCGAACCACAATGAAATGAAGCGCAACAAAACGAGGTTTGCCTGTCTCTCTTTGGGGTACTCCTCCCTCCCCTCACAACCGGAGTGTTGGCTGTAATGGGTAGATTCGCTGGAATCAGAGAAGGAGAGTCTTGGTGAGCTATTCCAACCCCCACATTTTGCAGAGGAAGCATCTCCAGCTCAGAGATGATGAGCTTGACAAAGGGATGGGTCAGAGCCCGCGTCCCCAGACTCCCGTCTGCAGTTAGGAGAGCACTGTCTTTCGGGGGGATTCAGGTTGGATGCAAGCCTGCTTGGACTCCAGCCATGACTATGCTCCAACCCACTGAGTGAATCCAGGCAGGTCACACGTCTTCAGGCCTCAGTTTCTTTACTGCGAAATGGGAAGAAATGGGATTACCACTTCTCTTCTCAGGGACATTGAGAGTGATCATGGGTCCCTAACTGGGAAGTGCTGGGGGAAATGAAGAGAATGATGCTCTGACTGCCTGTTGGGTCTAAAGTGGGAGAGCTGGGTGGGGATGGATGGGCAGCCTCCCCGACTTCCTGCCTCCCTGTCTCTTGCAGGCCCTGAGGGCTGAGTAGCCAGCGGGATGCCGGGTCTGCTGAACCAGGTCACAGGGGCAGCCCTGCCCCTCACTGCATCCGATGTCACCTCCTTCGTCAGTGGTTACGCCCTGGGTCTCACCGCCTCCCTCACCTATGGCAACCTGGAAGCCCAGCCCTTCCAGGGTAAGGACCCCTGTTGGGGCTTCCCCAGGGCCACCCCCTCCTGCACATGGAATCCCCATCCTGACATGGACTAGCGGTTGACGTGGGCAAGTCATGTAACCTCTCTGGGCCTCAGTTTCCTCATCTAGGGCTCACAGCTAGCAGCAAGTCAGGTCAGGATTTGAGCCGAGGTTTGGGCTCAGCCCCAGCCAACTGTCTCAGCACTATTTACGTTCCACAAGGCCCGCCCACCTGTGTCAAACGGCCAGTCCTCCACTTTCTCCAGGGAGCCTCACAGTAGGAGAGCATCAAGACCCAGTGGAAGACACGAGCTCCCAGTCCTAGGCTTGGCTCTTGTCCCTGTGACCTTGGGGGAAGCCACTGTCCTTCTCAAAATCAGGATGCTCCTCTGCCTGTCTGGACGCCAGGGTAGGGGAGGAGCCGATGAGGTAATGCCTGAGGAAGGACAGTGTGCAATGAAAAACACTCTGCGAAAGTGAATCATCAGTGTGGGGCCGTCAGGAGTGTGGAGGGACCTTCGCCTGCAAGAGTTCTTTGTAAACTCCTCTTTCCACCTGAGGGAGGGAGTTAGCGGGAAGGCTGGCCAGGAGGGTGCTGCGTAAAGGCTTGTGTGGCTGGATTCCTTCTCGTTGCAGCTGTGGGGGCCTCCTAACCCCCAAGCTACATGTCTTGGGGCACCACCCTCCAGCCCAACCTGAGGTTCTGAAACCATTTCACTTCCCAAAAGGAACCTGCAGGGAAACTCTCTTCCCCTCAGAAGTCTCCCGGGCAGAGTAAATGACCCTGTTCCTCTGTTTAAGGAAACCTAGAGAGGGTGGCTTAAAATGGAACTGGGGGCCCAGGAGACTAAATTACTCAACAACTTTGGGACAGTCCCGTGGATTTCTGCACGCAGAAAGAACCAGTTTCCCCATTTTATAGATGAGGAAACTGAGGCTCAGAGGTACTGGAAGCCGGGGTTTGTGGAGGGCCCATCAGGAGCCCGCATTGTGCTGTCCCAGTGTTAGTGGGCAGATCAAATGAGACACGACCTTGATCCTCCGAGTGTGGTCCCCGAGCCATCGGCATCACTCAGGAGCTGGTTAGAAATGCAGAACCTCAGGCCCTGCCCCAGACCTACTGGATCAGAATCTGCTTTTAACATCCCCAGATGATTCGTGGACTCAAATGTGAGAAGCACTAAGATATAAAAATGTGGGGCACACACTCTGGACCACACAGCTTAACAAGTGATGGCTATTTTTTCCATTTTTGTGACAACTCTATGAGTTTGGCTCTATTATCCCCGTTTTACAGTTGGGGCTGTGACGCTTAGAGAAGCTGAATGTCTTATGCAAGGTCACCAGGCCAGGAAAGGGGGCAGGGCTCGGATGAGAACCCTAGTCTACTTCCACCAAGGCCCCAGCTCCTAGATGCCACGGGTGACAAATCCACCACACAGTTGTGTTTTATTAGGCCCATACATCAGGTCACACAAAAAGCTGGATTTCCACTCTCTCTCGGAAAATCAGAAGCCCTGGCCACACCGGCCTTACGCGCCCGCAGAGTAAGGTGGCAGGGACAGGGGAGCAGTCGTCCCTTTTCCTGTTGCCCCACTGTTCACACAGTATCTGCTGCTGCACTTACTGTGCCCAGCCCCAGAGCCACGGGGTCCCAGCCTGAGTCCCCTCCGGCATCCTCTAACTGGCAGTGACTGCCGTCCATCCATCTGGCAGGCCAAAGGTTCAGGTTCCTCCCCAGGGGTGGGGCACGCAGAGCGGGGCTGGAGCACCCCGCGATGCTGGCCCTGCTCTGGCAGGCCTCTTTGTGTATCCACTGGACGAGTACACCGCAGTGATCGGCTTTGAGGCAATCATTGCCGACCGCGTTGTGACGGTACAGATCAAGGACAAAGCCAAGATGGAGAGTGGCCACTTCGATGCCACCCGCGTCAGAGCCACAGCTGTCACAGGTAAGGAGGCCAGAAGGGCCGTGGCAGGGCCTGGGCCTGGCTGGGGTCTCAGGCAGACTGAAATGGCAGCAATGGGATAGGGTAGAGAGAGCACTAAACTAGGAGTCAGGAATCCTGTGTGACCTCAGGCCAATAATTAACCTCTCTGAGCCTCTCTTTAATGTCTGTGAAATAGAGATAATTGTTCCTGTTCTCACTCGAAACCGTGGTAAGGACCAAAGGAGGCAATGAAAGGATTTTTAAGATGTCTCTAAAGAACAGAACAGCAGGTCATTTAAGCTCAGAAGTTGCGGAATGAGTCACACCAGGATTTGACTCCCTATCCTGTTGCTTGCAAATGGTGTGAGCTTAGATAAGAAATTCAGCCTTATCTGCAAAATGGAACTAACAATTATACACACCCAAATCTCAACAGAGAGCATGCCTGCAGCACACTCACCACAGTCCCTGGTACAGAGTAAGTACTCAAAGCGTGGCTACTGATGCCGGCTATTGAGGATACTGAGGCTCAGAGAGAGCGAACGACTGACCCAAGGTCACACAGCACATTAGTGTAGAGCCAGGGCTTGAATCCAGACCAAGTATCATATGATGTAAGAGATTCCTACCATTGGATCTACGATCAAGGTGAAGTTTGTTCACCCGATCATTAAGATGATCAAGAATATTTTAATGAGCACTCGCCATATGTAAGATGCGAAGTTGCCCTCAAGTTGTTATGACTACTCGCAGCCCGGAAGAACAGCTGAGACATACTTAGGAGTAACCACGGAAGGAGGCGGCAGGTGGCTGTGCCAGAGAGGTCTGGATAACGCCAGAGGAGGGAAAGAAGAGTCCACATGGGATACCAGGGAGGTTTTCATGGAGGGGTTGGATGGAGGGGTAAGACTGGCTAAGTAGGGATGAGGGAGTGGGCCTTTCAGATAAAAGGAGAGCGCATGAGAAAACATGGATCCCAAAGGTGGGGGGTGCTTGGGTGTGACACTGGGGGAAAGAGAGTCTGCAGATAGAGATGTGACCCTGTGTTGGGGGTTTGTGGGTCCAAGCCCCCACTCCCAGCAGGGTACAGTGGGAGGTACACGGGCCTGGCGTCAGACCCACGTAGGTTCAGTTTCTGGCTCAATTCTTTGACTAACTTGGGCAAGTGGCACCACCATGCTGAGCCTCAGTTTTCCCATCTGTAAAATGGGCTCCTCAAACCTACCGCACAGCAAACTTAGAGGGAGCCAGAGATAATACATGCACAGCCCCTGACTCCAGGCCCGGCACTTAGGAAACATTCTGCAAGAGGGGGTGTCTGTCACCCCTCATTCCTACACATCAGGAAAGGTGGCTTTAGACGAGGATTTGGAGCGGATCCTGTTCGTGGTCAACCTGGGGACCATCGCCCCCATGGAGAACGTCACCATATTCGTCAGCACCTCCTCGGAGCTCCCGACACTGCCCAGCGGGGCGGTGCGGGTCCTGCTGCCTGCCGTCTGCGCCCCCACCGTGCCCCAGTTCTGCACCGAGAGCACAGGCCCCTCCAACCAACAGGCCCGAGGGTAAGGAGCCCTGGCCAGACAAGGGTCCAAGGCTCGAGTGGGCTGCAGGGAGGTGGTGGGGTGAAGTCAGGGGGGTGCGGGGCGGGGGAGACAGGGAGTAGATGGTGAGGCTCAGCACTATAGGGGCCACCATCTGAATAGCTGCTCCTCCCCTGCTCACTTTTAGAGCACTTGAGAATCCCCCTGAAATGCCCTATTTGGCTACTAGCCAGAAGTGCTGGGATTTGGGCAGCTTGGGCCCAGAATTTCCAAAGCTTTATTTTGTAACGCACTCGAGAGGGATTTTCTGACTACCTTCCCTGTGCTGGACCCTGGGCTGGCTGTTGGGATACAGAGGGCATGAAACCAACGTGGCTCTTGCCTTTGTGGAACTTGGTGGGAGAGATGGTTATCCAACTGACAACTAGTGGGGAACTGTTTATGTACTTGCATGCATAATTAATTATGTAAAACAGCAGTAAAGGAGAAGTTCATTGAACTAAGAGTATAAAAGGAGGACTCAACCTGGGGGGCCAGGCTTCTCTGGGGAGTGGTACTTTAGCTGAAAGCTGAGCGATGAGGGGGGCCTAGGCACAGACAGGAGTGTTCCTGTCGGTGAAAACAGCAGGGGCAAAGGCCCTGAGGTAGCAAGACAGGGCCCCAGAGAGGAACCGAAGCACAGGTGGCATGAGATGAGGCTGCAAAGACACAGGATGCCCTGTCGCCCCGGCCAACTCTGAATTTCTCCCAAAAGCAACAAGGAGCCATTAAAAGGGTTTTCAGCAGGGCAGAGTGGGGAAGACAGCAGGCCCAGTACCCTCCTGGTGGGCAAGGAGGGAAAGGAGGCACCTGTAGCTGAGATCAGGGCTCCTCCCATTTCCCTGCCTGAGGACCAGAATGAGCGTTTCTTCTGCAGGGAGAGAGGACAGCCTTTTTAAGTAGCCTGCTGCATACGGGGATGTCTTTTGAAGTCTTGTATTTTCTCATTCACTTGTGAATTTTTAAAATCTATTCCACAGCATCTTAGCGCCATTTTGGTACAAAAATAACACTTGAAATTAATTGCTAGTTAAACTACTTAACTCCCCACACCCCAACTCTCACCTCAAATCTTTGAGCCAAGCTGAAATCTGGGAGGATGTGCCGTGTGTCTCCAGGGGTCTGATACATACACTGGTAGGGCTCCGGGGACAGCTGGGAGCAGGTGCCCACTGGGACACGGGACACTGTCAGCAGACTCCTGGACACCACCATTAAAGTGCTGATCTCAGGCCGAGCTGGGAGGAAGGGTTATTGCAGCCTCCCTCGTGGGGCCAGCCTGGAGGGCACTCCTCAGTCTCCACGAATAGTAATTAAACACCCTCTCTGTGCCGGGCACTGTTGGGGTGTTGGGAATACAGCAGGCAACTAGACAGATAAGGTCCCTGCCCTCGAGGGGCTGGCATTCTAATGGGGGAGACAGACAGTAAAGAAATAAGCCCATAAACAAGTAATATGCTAAGTGATGAGTTCTATGAAGATCAATGCTACAGAGGCTAGAGAGGGACAGGGTGGGGTGGGTGCTATTTTAGCTAGAATAGACGGGGCTTAGGCAACACGTGAGGCCTGATCTGAATGAAAGGAGCAAGCCAAGGAAATATTCTGGAGAAAGAACATTCTGGGCAGAGGGCAGAGGGAGCAGTAAGTGCAAAGGCCCTGAGGCAGTAGCAGGCTTGGTGTGCTTGAGCAGCAACAGGAAGGCTAGTATGTTGATAGCAGAGTGGGAGAGGGAAGGAGAGAAGTCAGAGGGGTGGTAGGGACTCAGATCCTGTAGGACATTGAAGCCCAGGGTGAGGACACTTGTTGGCACAGCAGAGAAGCTGGCAGCACCAGCCAGTCTCAGACCACGAAACACCAGTTTGGGTGTCGTCTTTATAAGTGCTTCCATGGGCGCCAAACCTCATGCATTTGAGAGGCATGGCCTAGCAGAGCTGGGACATTCAAGACTTTGGTGGATCAGAGAACAAGAGGCCCTGATAAGCTTATTCCTGCCCATCCCAGCAGGTGGGGTTAGCAGAGGCAGTCTTGGGGGAAGCCTGCCTCAGATCCGTTTGGACCTGAAAGCTGCTCAGATAGAGTGACACGAGAAAAAATAAGAAAATAGATAACGCCAAGTGTTAGTGAGGATGAGGCGAGAAGGAAACTCTTGTTCACTGCTGGTGGGAGTGGAAACTAGGCCAGCCACCCTGGAGAGCAATCTGGCAATAGTCGATGTGTGCCCTGTGACCCGGGGATCCCAGAGAACCCTGTCATAAGTCCAAGGGGACACGGGTGAGGATCTTCACGGTGGTGGTATCTGTGGACACAGTGGGGTGGAGGCAGCAACAAATAAGTACAACGTAACGGGTGCCCCCAAACGATACCGTGTCCGCAGCAAAGACTCGGGGTTGCAGCCCTGGACAGAGCCTAAAAACACAGCGTTGAGTGAAAAAAAGGAAGCGATTGAATGAGATTCATAATACAATGCAATCTTTTCAGTTTAAAACACATTCACAACCCCATGCCACCGTGTATTTTACAAGGATATGTGCATATTAAGGACATATATCAAAGACCTTAGAGGGTGTGCTGGGGGAGGGGAGGGGAATGGAGCAGGACCAGAGACAGAGCAGGGGATGACGCAGAAAAAGGGCCCAGAAACGAGCCTTCAGCAGGTGAGACACTTTGCTAAGCCTCGCTCAAGACAACTGTGTCATTATTATCCCATTTAATGGATGAGAAAACCAAGACTTAGAGGAGAAGTGGCTTGTGCAAGGGCTCCCAGCTCACAGAGAGAGAGCAGGGACGCAAGAAGTGGTGTGAGGTAGTGCATCACAGACAGACCTGGGCAAGGACGCACGCTCTGCCAGGTCCTGGTTGGGGGAACTGAGGCCTCATCTTGCTGAGCCTCGGATTCCCCATGTGGGAGATGGGGGCAGTGGGGCCCCGATGCCTTCTTCTGGGGCCCGTGGTGAGAACAATGTGAGCTGATGCCGTGGAGCACCATGCCTTGCAGCGGCCCATCCTTCGTAGGTAGCTGTGCCTTGTGTCTGAAGCCAGGCTCTCCCCGGGGTCAGATTGAGTGGAAGATTAAGGGTCTGGGGTGGGAGGAAGTTCCTCAGCCACTTTCAGTCTGGGCTGCAGGGGTGCCAGGGCTGCCTGGGACTCACCGTCCTCTCCATGTCTTCGCATGCTGGCCCCCTGCCTCGGCCCTGGCTGCCCGCCTCCTGTTCCTCCTCTCGTCCCCCTTCCCAGCAAAGACAGGCATTGCTTTGGCACCCCAGCGCTGGACTCCTGGAACAAGTTGTGCCTGGCAACTCTCCTGGACACCGATGTGTCCAACCCCATGGAATATGAGTTCAACTTCCAGCTGGAGATCCGCGGGCCGTGCCTGCTCGCAGGTGAGAGGGAGCTCAGATAAGGGCCAAAAAGAAGACGCAAGGCCCCGGGGTGGGGAGGGCTCCAGGCCCAAAGCTGCCAGGGATAGAGAGGGAGGGGAGGGCGGGGAAACTGATCAACCCAAAAGGAAGATCACCTGAAGCACACAGAGCTTTATGGACCCCCATTTCCTGCTCCCCAACGCACAGCCCAAAGATGAGCCCCGCCCAAGGACAGGTCTCAAGGCTGTCCCCATCTCCACCTCAGTGGCTTCCTTGGGGAAAGGTGCATGGGCCCATGGTGGTTCCTGGTCCTCTCCTAAAGGCCACAGCCATAAAGCTGCTTCCTGGTTCTCATCTTGCAGAGCAGAATCATCCGGGGAGCTTTCAAAATCCTGCTGCTTAGATCCCACTCAAGAACTTCTGATGACATTGGTCTAGGGTGTGTCCTGAGTATTTATTTAAAAGCTCCCAGGTGGTTCTAACGTGCAGCCAGAGTTGGGAACCATTGTTCTGATGGTTCCCCTCCCCAATTCACTCAAGATTTTAAAAGGACACTAGGATATGGTTTCTTGTCAACGAGTGTTCTCCCAGAGCAACATGACATTCCAACACAGGAGGCATTCCAACACAGTGGAGCGCCCACTGATGGAGTGTGAACTCTCTCTATCTTTATGGTCCCTATGAGGAAGCAACTCCTTTGACCCCCACTGGATCCTGAGGTCAGAGCAGAAAGAACCATTTGATACCACCTAAGCCCCCATTTGGCAGATGGGGAAATTGAGGAGGCCTGTCTGTGGTTACACAGCAGGGCAGGAGCCCCTGATGGGGCTGGAGTGCCAGTCATCTCTGGCTTGGGTCTCGGGACCACCCCCATCGAGCCCCTATCTCTCCCAGAGCTTCTGAGTCTATCCCGCCTTTCTGTGCCTCTCAGGAGTGGAGAGTCCCACCCACGAGATCCGAGCCGATGCTGCCCCATCTGCGTGCTCGGCCAAGAGCATTATTATCACGTTGGCTAACAGGCACAGCTTCGACCGTCCCGTGGAGATTGTCATCCACCCCAGCGGTACTGTGCCCCAGCTGGGCCCCCGGGATGCCTATGGGAGGGAGGAGGTGCTGATCCTGGGGGGCACAGACATGTGGTCCCTTGCCCAGTGGCCAGCCAGGGGGAGGGTAGGGGTACACAGCGGAGGAGAGGAGACCAACTACCTGCCTCCTGGGAAACTCAGCTCCAGCTGGCAGAATTAAGTGTCTCCTGCCCCCCATTTTAGATCCAGAGGCCCCGGGGTCTCATCCACCCATTGGGGCATATTCCCCCAGGCCAGCTGAGCAGAGGATCTTTGAAACCCTAAGCTCAGTGAGACCTTGGCAGCTCTGAACCCTCAGGGAGCAACTCTATTGTCACTTTAAGAATTCATAGAATGTCAGGACCTGAAGAGATCAGAGAGCCCAGTCCCACTCCCATTTTACTTATGGGTAAACTGAGCCCAAGAGAGGGGCAGTGAGTCCCCCACGGCCACCAGGCTCTCCTCTTCCCAACTAAGGAATCTTCCCATGGTCCCCCACTGCTTCAGGCTCCCCTCTTCCAGTTGGGAGTCCTCCCCACTGTGAAGACCCCAGCCCTAATCTAAGGCCCCGGCCTCACCCTCACACTCAGAGGGTGCCAAGACTTGCTCTCGCCTCCGCAGAGCCCCACATGCCGCATGTCCTGATGGAGAAAGGGGACATGACGCTGGGCGAGTTCGAGCGGCACTTGAAGGGAAGAACAGGTTTCATTAAAGGGATGAAACGAGACAGCAGTGCAGAGCGAAAGGTGAGGAGGGCTATAGCCGGGAGGCAGGGGTGGCAGGACTGGGGTGGCTGGGGACTTGGTCTTCACTGGACCAACGAGGAGACTGAGGCTTGGGTGGGGGGGTCACTCGCCCGAGGTCACACAGCAAGCTGGTGGCAGATCCTCGTCAATGTCTCCCTCCGTGGGCTGGGGCACTGGGGGGCAGAGGGAATATGGACTTCCAGAGCAGCCGTCACCCTGGCGCTGTCATCCCACCTCCTGGTCACCTCCTAGGTCACCTTCTCCTAGTACCTCCAAGGTGCCTAAGCCAGGCAAAATTCTAGGCTGGTGGCAGAAACAACCTTGGTCCTCTCCAGGCTACTCCACCCCCCAGGGGTACCCAAGACCCTGCAGCTGGGTGCCCTCCCAGCTTCGTCTTCACTCTGGGGCCTCCCTTTTCCCACCCGCTGAATGGGTCTCTTGCTCTTCCTCCCTCTGGGAGCCTAAGAATAAAGGCAGAGCAGGGAAAGCCTGAGAATGATCCTTTCCCCCTACTTGCCCCCTCCCTCGTGAAGCTAAAGGACACGGAGGCCCTGGGTGGCGGGCTGGGGGGGAGACTTGTAGGAGGCAGAGCCGACAGCCGCAGTTGCACCGCAGTCTCTCTCCTGCTCACAGCCCTGCACGTGGAGCCGGGTCCTGAACACCAAGACAGGTTTAAGAATGATGACACACTTCTTTTTATCGTCCCCTCTTTTTAGATGAGAAAAATGAGGCTTAGCACCCAAAAATAACTGGTGAGCTGGGAGAAGGGGAAGACCGTTCTCTTGGGAGTTGGCTTTGGTGACAATGGGGCTAAGAATTTAGAGGGTACAGGAACATTATTAAGGACCCCACTGAAGCACCTGCTGAGTGGGGGGTGGGAGGGATGGTGAAGAGAAGGTGTGGATGGCTCAATGCCCATCACATCATCCCCATGTTAGAGACCCCACTGGAAATGCCCACCTCGCAGAGGTGCCCCCTCACCGAGATGAGTCAGTTGGGAGAGGCTGGAGCCAGATTCTCAGAGTTGGGGGTGGCAATGCCAGGGCTGCCGCTGAGCTCTGAGAATTCAGCACATGGGCAAAGGGAGGGGAGTGGCAATGGGCCTTCCAGGCCTGGGGCTGGCTCCTCTGCCTGCCAAGCCTTAAATCAATTAGCTCTGGGACCGCTGGAGCAAATGAGAATTAATTTGCCACCTTGGGTTGGTTATGCAAATACCCTGTATTCTCCTGAGCTCCAAGGATAACAGCAATCAACCCGAAGCTGCTAAGAAATGATGAGTTTATTGTAATTGAATAATGGCAGCTCCGGGAGACATTAGAGAATCCTGAGCCAGAGCCCCCACCCACCCCTAAGAGGCAAAAATCAGATTCCTGGGGGCCGGCCCAGTGGTGTAGTGGTTAAGTTTGCACAGTCTGCTTCAGCAGCCCAGGGTTCACAGGTTCGGATGCCGGGCACGGACCTACACACCATTTATCAAGCCATGCTGTGGCAGGCGTGCCACAGATAAAGTAGAGGAAGATGGGTATGGATGTTGGCTTGGGGCCAATCTTCCTCAGCCAGAAAAGAAGGATTGGCAACGGATGTTAGCTCAGGGCTAATCTTCCTCGCCAAAAAAAAAAAAAATCGATTCCGGGAGGTGGCTCCTCTCACCAGCAGATGTGGCTGTTGCTGCCTTGGGGTCTGTCATCAAGAAAGCCAGGCTGGGCAGTGGCTTTCAGCAAAGGAGCTCCACGTAGGAGGGAGAGTGCAATCTCTCACCAAAGAGGGAGGCTGGCAACCAGAGGGCGAACATCAGACAGGAAGAGTGGGTGGGACAAGCTGTCAAACACCACGATTTAGCAAAGCGAGGGCAAATGGCACAGAGGAAGACACTATGTAGAAGAGATGGAGATGCATAGAGAAGCAGAGACAAATAGAGACAGAGAGACTGAAAATAAAAATGATTCACACACAGGTCAGTGGCAAACAAAAAGACCCATATAGATTCATTCCCTCATGTATTCATTCAACGAACACTAAGTGCCCGATAGATGTCAGGCTCTGTTCTGGGCAGTGAGGAGGCAACACTGCAAATGACACACAGAGCTTACATTCTAGCACAGACAAGACGTAAATAGACGAGCAAGAGCAGCTTGGAGAGGGCTGGGGCCATGAAAAAATAAAACAGGATGATATGACAATGAGTGATAAGTGCTCGGTGCTTTTTAGCTGGATGCTTAGAGCAAGCCTGCTTGAGAGTGAGAGCTGGTGGAGAGCGAAGAACTGGAAGCAGAATAATGGTGATGTGTTTGGAAAACAGAAAGGTGGCCAGTATGGCTGAAACGTAAGGAGCAAGGTGTGCAAAGACCAAGCTCACAGGTAGGCAGGGGTCAGCCATAGGGGGCTCCATAAACCATGGTGCAACGTATGAGGGGAAGGTATTGCTCAAGCAAGAGGATGAAAAGCATGACCACGCTGACTGCTCTATGTGGAATGGACCACAGGGAGATAAAAGTGGAGGAGAGAGGCCAGCAAGAGGTCATGGAAAGGTCCAAGCAAGAGATGACACTGTCCTGAACTTGGGTGGTGGCGGTGGAAACAGAAGAGGACATGTTCAGGCTGTATTTTAGCTGTAGAGCTGGCAATCCTTTGCTGAAGGAGTAGATGTGTGGAGTGGGGAAAAGAAAGGCATCAAGGACATGTCCTAGGTCTTTGGTTTGACCTAGGCGTCAATCATCATTGAGGATGATGATGTCATCCTCATCACCTGGGTGGGTGATGATGTCATCTATTGAATTGGGGAAGGGACCCAAACAGACAGAAACTGAGACACAGACACAAAGAGACACATACATGCAGAGACAATCAGATAAAGAGACAGAGAGAAAGTTGGAGTGGAGAGAGAGAAAAGCAGAAGGAGGACAGAGAAAATGAGATTTGGTGCAGAGTGAGTGGGAGAATCAAGGAGGGTTCAGCAGCAGCGTGTGAGAGCCAGCTAAGAGGCCTCATAAGAAGATACAGAACTGTGGTCCTGTCCTCCCTTTAACGTTTCCTGAGCCCATCTCTGTACCAGGCTCTATGTTAAGCTCTGGAGAGGCAAGAGACTCGGCATGACTTGCCTTCTAGTAGCATACACGCTGGAGGGGAGGCAGAAATATGAGCAAAAACGTGCAGTGTGAGAAGTGCCCGGGCCCCCATGACAAATAGCGACAGCAGCCGCAACAGCGATGACGGCTGCTGTTTAGAGACAATCACTCTGCCAGGCAGCAGGTTGCAGAAGCATTGCATTTAATCCGTACAACTCGGTGAGGAAACTAGATAATTAAGTATGCCTGGAAGATTGGGGTAGGTTTTCCAAAGAGGTAAAATTTGAAGAATGAGTAAGAAGTTATCAGTGGGAGAGAAGCAGTAAACCAGGAAAATCAAGTTCACAACCAGGATGAGCCAGAGAGTGGCTTCTACATTCAGTGCTAAAGCGAAAGAAATCACTATTCAACTAGGGACCTGCGTGTGTGTCAGAAGCTTCCCATTGGTGTGCCAGCTCAGTTCATCCTAATAAGCACCCTGAGAAGTGGTTGTCGTTTGCCCCATTTTATGAATGAAGAAACAGACCCAGAGCAGGGAATTTGCCCAAAGTTGCACAGCTGGACGGTGACAGAGCTGGGGTTCAAACCCAGGTCTTTCTGCCTCCAAAGTCTATGTTTGCTGTTGCAACTGTGAAAGTCTAGCAAATGGAGGAGCCAGGAACCATCGATTTGGCAGTCTTTCATTAAGAGTGGGGTGAGATCTGACAAAACTTGGTGAGTAACGAGGGACCAGCGTGGTCCCTCAGGAGTAGCTCTGGACCCCTTGAATACCCAAGTGAGAGAGTTTTCCTTGCTCCTCCAGACAGAAATCATCCGGAAACGCCTCCACAAGGACATCCCCCACCATTCTGTCATCATGCTCAACTTCTGTCCCGACCTCCAGTCAGTCCAGCCGAACCTGAGAGAGGCCCATGGGGAGTTTATCTTCCTCATCGACAGGAGTGGCAGCATGAGTGGGACCAACATCCTCCGTGTCAAGGTACCTGTAGGAGGACCCCCCCTCCCCCGGGGTCTAGGGCTCCAGGGTAAATCAGCTGTGCTCCCCCAAACCAGTTTCCTCAGTACTTTCTGTTCCAAGCAGTCCTCCTTCCACAGTTAAACCACTTTCCCAAATGGCAATCCATGAATAAAAGGAACAACTTTTTTTTAAATCAGTTTGAACAGAGACACCCAAACTCAACTCACTCCCAAAATAAAGCCCTGACGTGGTGTGAGCAGAGATAGTACTGTTGTCCATTTACAAGGGATGAAGTCATCAATAGCTCTCCTTGGCATTCTACAAACCTTTCTTGAGTGCCTGCTCTGGCTAAAACACCTCACTAGGTACTGAGCGGAGATGGGCACAGGGAAGAGAGGAAGGAAACTAACACTTGCTGAGGGCCTACTACATGCCAGGTACTGTGCTAGCCACTTAATGCATAGCTTGGTGTTTAATCCAGACAATAATCCTGTGAGGTTGGTCCTCTTGTCACATTTTCCAAATGGGAAAACGCATCCTGAGAGTTCCAGTAACCTACCCAAGGTCACATAGCTAGTGTGGTCTAAGATTAAACCCATGTCTACCTGACTGTCAGTAACACCTGGCATCAGATGTTCACTGGACACAGCCTCTGCTGTCAATGAATGTGTAGAATCCAGTAGAAAAGATTTCATTCATCCTTTTTTTTTTAATGCCTAGTATGTGCAAAGCCCTGTGTTTGGCCATCTGGAAAGACAGCAGGTTATAAACATAGTTCTTGCCCTCAAGGAGCTCACAGTCAAGTAAGGGGCACAGCCGTGCTACTTAATTATGCCTGGGAGCATGGTCTTATTGCAATGGCGTATCTAAAGGCATGCAGAAGAGTGATAAAACCTTCCCCCCACACATCCAGAAGCGTTTCATCTCCCTCAGGAGATTATTCGCCTCTATTATGGCATTTTACAACCCTTCCTTGTATTTTCAGTTGTGTAGATGTCTGTCTCCTCCTCTGGAGTTATGAATTCCTTAAGGGAAAGAACCATATCTTCCTCATCTATCTCTCCCCGTGGGACCTAGCTCTGTGCTTATGAATAGAAAGCCCTCAGTCACTGTTTATTGAACTGGGTAAAGGATCATCATAGTTCAAGAAAATGAGGGATGAGGGAACAGGAGGGAGAGGGCTCTGCTGTCACCTGAATTTCATCCTCCTCCTAGTTTGTCCCTGGAGCAAACTCTTGTTTCCAGGGCAACAGGATCAGCAACAAGGAGAGAGGTTAGGTGGGGTCTGTGATGACAGCTAACCCCTCAGTCTTGTTATAGTCATATAACAAGTCTTGAAGTATGACAGAGCAATCATATAAGAGACCCAAGTTCCTGTGTGAGGCCTCTTCACACTGGGATGCAGGACTAATTAATATGTTCTCCCCATCCGGCCTGCCATCAAAGACAGGAATTGGAATGGGGAGCTGTCCATAGTTCTGGAGTGCTGAATCACGCTCCAGGCCTGTGTGGCCACGTGTATTCCATTCTACAGCTATATCAATTCTTAAGACATCTCGTCATTTACTCTAAAGAATCATGGGATCATAAACCCAAAGCACTTGTTAGAGAGCATTTAATCCACTTTCCTGCCATTTTTCAGGTAAGGAAACTGAGTCCCCAAGAAGTTAAGTGTTTTTCCCAATATCACAGGGTTAGTGAGGTCGCCTAAGTGTTCCATATCTTGGTTCAGTGCTCGTTTCCCTTACGTAGCTGATAGAGAATTATAATACACTTCCACTAAGAAAAGCTCTCTTCTCTGATTATGTCATTTCTGCTGCATGGCTTAGTGGAAAGGGCAATGCCTGGGTTCCAGGATCGATTCTGCCACTACTTGCTATGTGGCTTTGGACAAGTTGATTTTCATCTCTGGGCTTCATTTATCCTTTCTGTAAAATGAGAAAGAAGGATTAATTCAGGGAGGGCAAACATATGTCACACGTCCCTCTGTTCCCCTCTCCCAAGCCCAGACAGACATCAGTAACTGACCAGGACATTTTTTTCATGCTGAGCCTGGACTCAGTCTCTTCTCATCTCAGTGTTCCAGGCAGTTACTACCAGTTAAATGGAGCTGGTTTGTGAGTGGAAATCCATTTCCTGAACTAAAGACCTTTCCAACATTTATGTTCCAGAATTCTCTGAAAACAACTCCCTCTGGCTCTCCTCTGAGGCCCTTTCCCCATGGAGTCTCTCTTGCTCTCTTTTCCAGTTCAGCTCACTGAGCTCAAGGTCATCCCTTCACAAGTGGCTTTGCATTGGCACAATCCATTCTGCTATACATGCCTCTTTTAGAAAAAGCACAGAAATTGCTCAGGCCACACACCCCTTTCCCCGCTGACAAAGAGGCCATTGGGGGGTTTCTTTGGTCACTAATTGTGGCCCATTATATTGAAGTTTTAGGAAAAACTAGGCTTAGGGAGGTAGGAGAGAACAGAAATCCAAATAGCATGCCAAAGGGGAAAGTTCAGCCAATTTAATTTCCTGCAGCTGGTCTCATTCTTCAGCTGCCATTTGCTGCCAAAAGCATGGCTTTAAAAATTCTAATAGGTGTGAGCAGAGACAATCTGTATGGATCAGCAGAGTCTCCTGCTAGCAGGAATATACATTAGTGGCTAATGAAAAAATAAGCAGATGTTGACTTCTTTTGTAGAGAAACAAAATGTATTGACACAAACAACAAAGGGAGACAGAGAGAACGTTAATGTTAATGTTTAATATTAATGTTTACAGAGTGGGCTGTGAGAGGAGCTGCAGGTCTGTGGATCCTGGAAGGCCGTATGGTGTGGAAATTGCCAGGATCCAATTGCAGCTGTTTCCTTCTAGATTCTGGAGTATAGCAGTTTGTTTCCCTGAAGCCATGCTGAGATCCTGGGATGCTACCAATAAACTATATGGGCATAAGGGAGACCCCCCCTCATTCCTGAGCTCCATGCCAAGGCAAAGCCAACATGAATAAAGATCTCACAGCTGTGTTTTGAAAGCTTCAGTCCTATTCTTAGGTTTTGTTAGCCGGGGCAATTCCTTAACCCTCTGAGCTTCAGTTTCCTTGTCTGTAAAACAGAGGTATTGATATTAATACATGTCTCATTGGTTGGTAATAATAACCATTTACTGAGTGTTTACTATGTGTCAGGATGAGGCTCAGAGGAGTGACATAACTAGCCCAAGGTCAAGTTAGTGATGGTAAAGGTGAGATTTAAACCCAGATGTATTTAACATCAAAGTGTATCTTCTCTTTTTATTTTATTTTATTTAATTTTATTTATTTATTTTTTTGTGTGTGAGGAAGATCAGCCCTGAGCTAACATCCTTGCTAATCCTCCTCTATTTTTTGCTGAGGAAGACCGGCTCTGAGCTAACATCTATTGCCAATCCTCCTCCTTTTTTTTCCCCCCCCCAAAGCCCCAGTAGCTAGTTGTATGTCATAGCTGCACATCCTTCTAGTTGCTGTATGTGGGACGCGGCCTCAGCATGGCCGGAGAAGCGGCGCATGGGTGCACGCCTGGGATCCGAACCCGGGCCGCCAGTAGCGGAGCGCGCGCACTTAACTGCTGAGCCACAAGGCCGGCCCCAAAGTGTATCTTCTTAACCACTATGCTATAACACATGGCATAGAGATTAAATGAGATAATTAATATAAAGTGCTTAGCACAGTGTTTGGCACATAGCAATTGCTTGATATTTATCATTGCATCTTATCATCATCATCATCATCATCATCAATATCATCTTTTCCCTCCTGTCATCTCCTCCACCTCCCCTCTTTGTCATTATTTTGTCCAGTGTAGCTTTATCAAGGTCTCCTGGTGCTGCATAGTTAAACAGGTTAAGATTCTTCAAGGTTCACAAACTTTGGAGGTAAAGTGACACGTGTTTGTGTCTTGGCTCCACTATTTACTATCTGGATGCTCACCGACAAGTCACTTCTCTTCTCTGTGCCTCAATTTTCTCTTGTATAAAATGGGGATAGTGTTGTGCCTGCCTCGAGGGTTATTGTTAAGATTACATGAGGTAACGTATGTAAAGCTCATCTTGGGCGTTCAACAAATGTGAGCTAAAGGGACCATCCCTAGTCAATGATAGTTAGGGTGAGTCTGCTGCAAAAGGCCCTGGATGAGAGCCAGAAGCCTGTTCCATTGCCAGTGTAACCTGGACCAGGCCACGTGCTTCCCTTAGATGTCAATTTTGTTTTGGCAGAAAGGAGTGGGTGCTCCCTGCTCTCTCTAGCTCTCAGGGTCAGCAGGAGGTGAAATCCAACTGGCAACCCATGATAGAATGGCTTTGAGAAGTCAGACTTGCTACACGGATGAGCAGTTTTATGATGATGGCTTTGGTCCAGCCGCTGGTCAGCCTCAGCAAATTTCTCGATCTAGGGGAGAAGGTGACGGGTGTAGATAGACAGGTGAAAGGCCTGTTTGCAGGCTTCTTCTGTGCTGGGATGAGAATACTGGTGTCTGGTGACAGAGGTAATAACTCCTTCCTGAATCCTGAGAATCTCTTTCTTGCCTGCCAGGATGCCATGCTGGTGGCTCTTAAGAGCCTCATGCCAGCCTGCCTCTTCAATGTCATTTGGTTTGGATCTACATTTAAGACCCTCTTCCCTTCCAGTCAGACCTACAGTGAGGTAAGGAGGGGGCAAGACTGGGACCAGGCGAGGGTGGGTGGTGAGAGAGGAAGGAAAGAGAAAAGGAAGGAAAAAGAAAGAGGGGATAACCCTGAGGCCTGTCTCAGAAGCTGTCCACCCACATAGAACCTAGATGATGCCCAGGAGCAGAGAATTAAAGGGAGGCTATCTCTGTGTAGGCATTATTCTGACATCTCAGCGTTATGACATCCCTCTTCTTTAAAATAAAGAATAGGTTGGGCAAAGTATGGGTGTGCACAGAGGGGGTACAGGGATGGGGTAGAGAGAGGATATATCCCACTCGCTGAAGCCTCTGTCTCATGAGAATGATAAATTCATGTAAGGTTGAGCCAGAGGAACGAATGGTAAGGGATAGGAGAGTGAGTAGGTGGGTAAGTGGGCATGGAAGTGGGCTAGGAATGCAACTCACAAGGCTCAAGCTACAATGTGGAACAAGAGGACTGTGACCCCAGCAGCACGTTAAAAATTGGAGCATCCTACCCAGGTCTAGGAACTGGAAGGAAGGGAGAATGGAAGGATATAGGGACCACTTTTCAATTAAAAATAACTTTACCAGTTTTTAAAATACAAAAATAATGTGTATTTGTTGTCCTATAATTTTTAAAACTAGATAACCAAAAAGAAAATTTTTTAAATCTCTCATGATCACATCGGTCAGAAAAAAAGAAAAACCGCTGTTAAGAGCTTAGTATAAATCCCTCCAGACTTTGTTCTCTGCATGTACATACATTTTCAGTAAAGATAGGATTAGACTTTCCATACTGTTCTGTAACCTACTTTTCTAACACAACAGCCCACCATGAGCATATTTCCATGCCAGTACGTATTAATCTGCAAAATAATTTTAATGGCTACCTAGTATTTCACTACACAGATAGATTGTGACTTATTTAACTAAACCCCTCTAGTTAGGCATTTAAGTTGTTCCCATTTTTTTCTATGTAGTCATCTTTGTAGCAAAGACTTTGCATACATGCTTCATGATTCCCTTGGGATGAATTCCTAGTCTTGCTGGTTCCAAAGATACATATACACATTAAGACTTTTGACATTGTTGTTACTCCCAGTGTGGATGTTGGAAGAGCATCTTCCTGAGTCAGCAGCAGGAGAACATCTGATGTCCAGTGAGAATCTGTCCTTGCTGCGGTGACATCCATCCAGTGCTAGTAATCCTTGGCCAGTTGGGTCTCACAGTGCTAGTCGAGGAGGCAGGGAATCTGACGTCCAGTTTGGGGAAATGATTTCCTCAAAGCATGGTAGGGATTCAGTGTCACAGTCAGGCCAGGACTCAAGTAGTAAGACTTCTAGTCTAGTGTACTTTCTACCACACCGCCTGCCTCCCTCATCAGAAAAGGAAACCTCATATGTGCTGAGTAATTAGGGGTTTGATGTCCCATTTTTTCTAGGAATGTTTATATTTTTAAATAGGAACCCAGAAAGGGCAATGATAAGTTATTACACCACAAATGGTGGCATTTCAGTATTGGTGGGCATGTTATTGGGCAGAATCACACCAAATAAGTGGCCATCTACTCTTCCTGTGCATGGAGCAGAGATGAAATTGGGAACAGGTCAACTCTAGTGAGGCTAAACTGTTATCTAGGGAAACAAAGGACTCATCCCCTGGGGTACTTAGAGTCTCTGTGCCATATGGTGACCCTGAGGATTATCTCCCCTGCCTATGTCCCTTCCCTGCAGGAGAGCTTGGCCATGGCCTGCGAAAACATTCAGAGAATGAGGGCTGACATGGGTGGCACCAACATCCTCTCCCCGCTCAAGTGGATCATCCGGCAGCCAGTGCACCGAGGCCACCCGCGGCTTCTCTTCTTGATCACAGACGGGGCAGTCAACGACACGGGGAAGGTGCTGGAGTTGGTGCGAAACCACGCCTTCTCAACCAGGTTGGCACAGGCTGAAGGTCTAGGGCTTCGTTATCCTGGGCTGGGGGTGCCAGAAACAAGGCAACGTGGAAAATGCCAGAAGGAGAGGAGACAATCTTATAGTGCTTTGCTTCCAGGGTGGTGGAGCTGACTTCAAAGTTTGCTTTTCCCCTCTCAAGTTCAGGTGGGATAAGATGCCCACACCTCTGCATACAGCTCCCAAAGAGCAGCCTAGGCTGCTCAGAGGAAGTCGTTCCTGCTGCTTTGACTCTGTGCTGGGGTGGGAGTTTATGGGATGTATGTGTGAATATGAGTGTTCATTGATGACCCTATTCCTTCTCACTCACCTTCTGCCTGAAGTTAGGGCCAGCTCTGAGATTGCTCTGCTGGATCATGCTCTGTCCCTTTCTCCATCAGGGGACAAAGATGGCAGAAAGGATGGAAAGTAGCAGCCCCTCTCCTCCCCTTCCCCCAGGTGCTATAGCTTTGGAATTGGACCCAATGTCTGCCACAGACTGGTGAAAGGGCTGGCAACTGTGTCCAAGGGCAGTGCTGAGTTCCTGGTGGAAGGAGAGCGGCTGCAACCCAAGGTAAGTGTAAGGGCCTCAGTCTCTTCTGGTGCTGGAACCTCAGAGGCCCAGACCAGTCATACAGCAGTGGTGGAGCTGGGATTTTACCCCAAATCTGAGCTCTCCACTAGGCTGCACTGCACCCCAGTGAGAATCAGAAAGGTGGAGGCCACAAAGCAACAACTCTTGGAGCTGGTAGAAGATACTAGATTCCTTGGTCCTCAGCCACTGGATCAGATGTTCTATCCACTGGCTGGGGAAAATTGTGGCTCCTGAAGGAGTCACTGCCTCTACGGATATGGAGTTGTGTTTGGGGTCATTTCTGGCCATGTTCCTGATGATGACAAATCGTGGGTCAGAAGAATCTAAAGAGCCCAGAAATCAAGGAGATTATAGTCTTTTCTCCATTTCCTGCATAATTGGCACAAATAATCCAACCCTGAGAAAACCTCTGTGTCAGTCCAGGTCCTCCAGGAACCAGAGACAGAGCTGGAGTTAAGAGCTCAAGAGGTTTATTGGGAGATAATGTTTGTGAAAGAGAAAAAAGAAAAACAGGAAGGAAAACTCTTCAGTCCATGAGGCAGACACAACACCTGTGAAAGGAAAGGAGGGAAGCAGGATTGGGTAGGGAGAGCTTCAGACTGCAATGCAGGTCTGGCAAGGTCTCAACTGACCAAACAGGAAGCTCTAGAGCAAAGATTTCCCATTAGGTAATCTATGTTGGGCTGAAATGTCAGGCACTAGTATCCCTGCCATGCTCAGTCATTGCCTGAGGGCTTCCAGGGAGACGTGTGATGTTGGCTGGAAAACTGGGGCACTGCATCTGAAGACTGTCACCTAACTGCATGCCTTCCAGCAAAAGGGCACAGTCTTCCTTTAAGGGAGATTTGAGAATGCATCTCTATGGCTGCACAATCCCCAAATCAGTTTTCTCTAGCTTTGTGGTACATCTGTGGAAATCAGCCTAGGTGATGCTAAACCACAGCCGTCATTTGTTGAACACCTATCACATGGTAGACACTTCAAATCTAGTATCTCAGCTAATCCTCCCAACTACATGGAGAGTTGAGAATTACTCACTTTAACAGAAGGGGAAACTGAGGCCCAGGAAGGAAATTAACTTGCTCAAGATCACTATCCAGTCTATGTTTTGACACAAACTTTCTGTGTCCCCTGGGCTAGTCACAGCCCTACTTTAAGTCTTGGATTTTCTCATTTATAAAATGCTTAGCTTAGAGAAGATGACAGCAAAAGTCTGCTCCAACTCTGATATTCTAGGAGTCTAAGAAGCTCAGAGGCATGTCCAGTGCTGGGCAAACCACCTCAAGGCCGATTGTCCCTTCTTTCCCACTCACATCCCATCACGCTCATACCCACGTGGTCTTCATGCTCCTCATCTGTACATACCCCTGCTCACACATCCCCCTAACCTGTGTTCTGACCCTGCCCAACAGATGGTCAAATCCCTGAAGAAGGCCATGGCCCCGGTCCTGAGTGACGTGACTGTGGAGTGGGTCTTCCCTGAGACCACTGAGGTCCTGATCTCACCTGTCAGCACCAGCTCCCTCTTCCCTGGAGAACGGCTGGTGGGTTATGGCATTGTGTGTGATGCCTCCTTATACATCTCCAATCCCAGATCTGTAAGTATCTTAGAAATTCCAGGGGTCAATGGGGGTCCAGAACTCTACCCATAAAGACATCCTTAGCTGGAGAGACTGTTTATGGCAGCTAGGAACTAATTGGATCTAAGTTTACAGTTGTGGGGTGTAGTTGCCAGGCCATGGGCATTCAGTCACAGTGACACTGCTTGGGTAAAAGCTACCACCTCAAAATGTGGTTCTCAAGATCCCCTGCAGCAGAAGAACTTAGGGAACACATTTAAAATGCAGAGCTCTAGCTCCAACCCAGGTCTAATGAATAAAAATCTCTGAGGGTAAGGCCCGGGAACCTGCATTTTACATAATCTCCCCAAAGTGATTTTGATGAACAATTCAGTTCAAAACAACTGCACTCAGGTTTCTTTCCCTGAACACTTGAGTCAGGTCATATCTCCTTAGCTGAGTTTGTGTTTTATTTATTTATACAAATAATTCTCTAATATATGGTGGCAGAAGTGGGATAAAAGTGAAGCACTCAAGGGGAGGTGGAATTCGTGCTACAATGTGGGAGACTGCCTGAGAAACTATTTCCTCATCCATTTTCTCTCTTTAGTGAGTCTTTCCACCTCCCTTGAAGGATTTATCATCTTGTTTTGTCTTTAAGCAGGAGTCAGAAACTCAATGCCTAGAGGGATTGGGCGGGTATAAAATGAATTAAATGGGTTTGTTGTAAAAATGAAAGGGGGAAATGCCATGAGAGACAGCCATTATCACTCAGTTCCTAAAGAGGCAATAGGAGTGGTGAGGAATATGGCAGACTGGAGAGTACACACCCTGTCTAACTTGGGCAGCCCCTACTGAGCTCTCACAAACTGTTGCCATGCAGGAATGTGGGCCCTGTGTTAAACATGTTTCCATTCTTTCAAGAGAAGTTAGAATTTTATGTGACATTTCCAGATTTTAGAATGTTATGGAATCTCTTAAGAACTATGATCAGTAATGATTAATGTGTCATGAAGAGTGGAGCATTCAACTGCAGGGAAAAAATACCAAACAAAATTCTGGTCAAGTCTTTGCACAATCCAGGCCCTTCTTGGAGGTCTGGGACACAGCAGATCATCAACAGACCCTACCGCTAGAAGGGACCACCAAATCCATTCTCCTTTCCTTACCCATGAGACAGGCAAAGTTTTCCCCAGCTACTAGTAGGGCTTTTGGGTAAAGGGAACCCTTGTACATTGTTGGCGTAAACATGACTTGCTCCTTTTCTAAAAAGGAATCTATAAATAACTAATGAAATTAGAAATACATAACGTTTCAACCCAGAAATCCCTCCAAACAATCTAACACATAGAAATAAAAGTGATGTAATAAATTTATGTCCAAGGATTTATTGTAACACTTTTATGATGGCAAAAATAAATGGCCCCAAAGCGAATGCCTGACACTAAGGGATGGTAGAATATTGTGCAGTCAAATGTTAAAAAGAATAGTTGATATGCAGGATTTCCAAAATATTTTAAGTGTAAAATTCAAGATATTAATAAATGTAAGTAATATGGTCCAGTTTTTGTAAAACAAATAATGACCCCAAAAAGCCCTTGTGTTTTATACGTATGTTTATATCATGGAGAATGGAGTGGAAGGAACAGATGGTTCATTTTGTTAATTTGGGTTATCTATTTGGAGACAGCAGTGGCATTTAGAATTATATATTTTTTTCATTTAATAAAGAAGATAATTAAAAATATAAAAAATATAAATGATATGAAACGTCAGTTCTATCCATCATCTCTTAAACAGAAATCTGCCTAAATTCCCCCAAGCAAGCAAAAAACTTCCCTATTCTTCTGGTTCTTCAAAGATGGAACCTCCACCTCCTCCTCTCACGCTCCTTGCTGTCTGACATGTCCTTCCTGACATCTAGCCTCATTCCCAGCCCTCTTTTCTCTTCCTCCCTCCAGGACAAGAGGAGACGATACAGCACGCTGCACTCTCAAGAGTCTGGCAGCTCCGTCTTCTGCCAATCACAGGAGGGGCCTGGCCCAGACGGCAGAGACCGTACCAAGAGCTTGGGGGCACCCTTCAACCCGAGGCAAGCCAAAGGGGCCCAGCCATCCAGTGGAGACTCCACCACCAATCCTGGTTAGTCTGCTGCCCTTCGTGCTTCACTCCCTTCTCCAGGGAGGCTATAATTGCTACATTTTACTGAGCACTTACTACGTGCTAAGCACTTTAGCAAACAATCTCATTGAATAGTTAGCAGCTGCAGAGGTGGGTACTATTATACGTATTTCACGGATGAGGAAACTGAGACTTGGAGAATTTAAGCAACTTGGCTAAGCTCATGGAACTTGAAAGAGGCAGAGTACAGAGAAAAGATCTAGACCTGTCTGCCTCCAAAGCCTCTGTATGGTGTTAGTTTCCATTCAGAGGGTTTTTACTGGTCCCCTACTTAGGCTAAGCACTGAGCACAGTATAGGAAGCAAAGATGACTCAAACATGGTACTTGTCCTGCAGAAGCTCTCCATCTAGTGAGAGGGATACAATTGGCCTTAACTCTGATAGAAAGCAGAGTGACAGGGGCCAGAGGAAAGTTTAACAAACCATGGGGACCCCGGAAAAAGGCACATCTGGTAGAAGATGTCAACAAAGACATAACGAGGGCACCCGTTCTTAGAAGGGAAGGGAGAGGAGAGTCCAGGCAGCAGAAACTTCCTGAGCAAAGATGTGGAGGCGTGATGCCTAGAAAACACATACACAATCGGTTACTCATCAAGTACGTTTGGAGCACATAGTACCTTGAAAAAGGAGCAGAAAGGCGAGTAGCTAGGTAGATAGATTAGGGCCAGATTAGGCAAGGCTTTGAATGCTAGGTAAGGTGCGGCACCTACACATATTTCAGTAGGCAAGCAGTAGAAAATTCAAGAAGTTTCCAAGTAGGAAAGGGTTACACAAACCCCTCTCTCTTTCCGCACTGCCCTCCACCCTGATGGTTCCCCTGCCACCATCCCTGCCCAGGTCTGGACCTCTCCCAGCGACGGCGGGCATATAGCACCAACCAGATCACCAACCACAAGCCCTCCCCAAGGGCCCCCACGGCCAGTGACCCCACGGTGGCTGCCAGGAGATACCCACTGCGGAAAGCCAAGCTGCAGGACCTCACCAACCAGGCCAGCCTGGATGCTCCTCAGTGGCAGACTGATTTGCAGGTACCCAAGCAGGGCAGGTTGGAGGTGGGGGAGGTCATGGGCAAGGAAAAGCTGTGTCTCCTGCTTCAACCACAAGGATGGGGCCAGTCCATGACTTACACTGCGAAGTGAGTCACTTCTTCCTCCTTTTTCTGGACCTTCCTTTGCCTGACCCCAATGATACCTTCCTAATAATGATACCCATTGGTCAACGACATCACGCATTCTCCGCACACAGCACTTCCCAGTTGCCAAGGAGCATCCCTTTCTACACTCTGATTTGATTTTACAGCACCCCTGGGAAAGGATGGAGTGTGGGGTCTGGCTACCCCCACTCTCTGGAAATTGAGGGCCAGAGAGGTAAAGTGACTTATCCAGGGTCACACAGCCAGTCATAGAATTGCAACCCAGGACCTTTTGCCTGCAAAGCCCTTGCCTCCCCACTCCCTCACACTGTACCTTCTGCAAATCCCAAGGGTTGGACATTCACCCAGGGCAGTGATCATCTCAGAGTCAGAGTCACAGCAGGACCAGTCACCCACTGTCTGGCTAAACCAGAGTTTCTCAGCCTCAGCACTACTGACATGATAATTCTTTGTTGTAGAGGCTGTCCTGTGCATTGTAGAAGGTTTGGCAGCATCTGTAGCCTCTATCCACTGAAGGCCAGTAACACTACCAGCCCCAGTTATGACAACCAAAAGGTCTGCAGACACAGACAAATGTCCCCTGGGGAGGGGGGCAAAATCACCAGGTTGAGAAACACTGTCCTAAACTAAATTGGGGTTTGGTATTATCTGTATGCCTTAACCCATTTTCTTAAGAATACACTTGAGGTTCCTTTGTCATTGTGAATCAGTGGTTCCATAAAACAGCCTTTCTCACTCTCCCACTCCCATCCACCACCCCTATCCCTCCCTGCCTCCACATACACATAAGCCCCTACACTCTCCAAGGATGGAGACACTGTCACCTTGTCCCTCAAGGCCCTTCTCTGTGCTTAGCCAGGGACCACTCATGGTTGGAAGTCATTGACTTGGAGTCAGGCAAACTCTGCTCCTCAAATATGTTGCTTAACCTCTCTGAGCCCCAATTTCTTCATCTATAAAATGGGAGAATTGCTTGTGCAGATGATTGAGCTCACAGCCATCAACAGATAGTTATTGGGAGCCAAAGGTAAGTGGAGGACTCTTGCAAGCGTCGGCTGGTAAGAGATGTAGTGCCTGGTGCAACACCTAGCACACAGTAGGTGTCCTTTAAATGCAGCTCTACTTGGTGAGAGCTCTGGGCAGCTTGACCTCTCTTCTTTCCTGCTTGCTTCTGGCCCATCTTTGCTCATCTCTCCCCCATCCCCTGCTTGGCTTCTTCCCCAGTCTGGTTCTCCCCAACACACTTATGCTAATGCACGCACACGCACCTGCACACACGCATGCACGCTCCCTGCAGCTTCTGGCGGGATGATGGGCTGAATCTTACACTAATCTGTTGCCAGGGAAACTGTGGCAGCTTCTGTTTCTCAGTGTGGTGGTGATGGTGGGGCAGGGGTGGGGGGAATCCCAGTCTCTGATGCAGGAGGGGGGTTAGGGATCCCCTGGGACCCAGCAGCCCTGGCTGGGTACCAGCTCCCACTGTGGCCATTCTAAGAGCGACCAGTCCCTTTCTTCTCCCACACTTTTGTACTACTCCCAGGACCTCAGGCCCAAAGGAAACAGAAAGGAAGACCCCAGCCCCTGCCCCAAGGAGCCCCCATCTAATCGGGAGGCACATTCCTCTTCCCAGTAAATACTTGATAGAGATGAAAAAGACCCATGGTTAACTAAAAGACTGAGAGGCACTTTTTCCCTCTGTTACACCTAGTAAGTGCCTTTGCTCCCCCATCCCCTTCTCCTACCAGGCGATGTATATATTCCCAGAGGCACAAAATTCGTTTTGAATTAATTTAACATTCTTTAATTACAAAAGTAATACACACTCAGAGTTTGCAATAAAAACCCTCAAACAGTTCAGTCAGGCATAAAGCAAAAATAAAAGTACCCCTCCCCCGTGCCCAGACCCCCTTGGTTTTGAGTGTTCCCTTCCAGAAATACTACACACACATAAACACACACACACAGGCAACACACATCTATGTTTTGAATAATCACATATATAAACTGCTCTCCAATTTACTTTTTTAATGTCTTTTTAATTTACTTTTTTTACATACGGTAAAATTACTCTTTTTGGTGAACAGTTCTATGAGTTTTGACAAATGCATATAGTCATGTAACTATCTCCACAATCAAAATACAGAACAGTTGCAATTTACTTTTTTTAAATGTTTTATCTTGAACATCTTTCCATATTGGTATGGAGAAATCCGCCTCGTTCTTTTCAGTGCTGTGTGGTGTTCCATTGCATGGATGGACTGTAACTTATTTGCCAACCCCCAATGATGGGCATTTAGATAGCTTCCGGATTTTCACTTTTACAAACAGCACTGAAACAAATACACAGTGCATACATAGATATTTGCATCTTTGTGTATTTCCACAGAATTAAATGCCTAAAAGTGGAATCGCTGGGTAAAAGGAGCCTGTGCATTTTTAATGTTGATAGCACATTGCTAAATCGTTCTCCCAAAAGTGTGCATCAGTACACACTTCCACCAATAGTTCATGGGAGACCCTGTCTCCCCACTGACCACACTGATCAAACGTTTAAATATTTGCCAATCTGCCAGATGGAAAAAAATTGTAACTTATTTTAATTTAGATTGCTCTAATTTCTCCTGGGGCTGAATACTTTTTCATGGGTTTATTGGATACTTTTTCTATGAACTGCCTGTAGATGCCCTTAATCCATTATTCTATTGAGTTTATCTCCCTCCCTCCATGATTTATAAGAGCATTTTCTTGAAAATGATCTTTGTCTTGCATGTTGCAAATATATTTCCCAGTTTATCCCTTGCCTTTTGATGTTTTTTGTACAGCACAAGAATAGACAGATTAAATCCACAAAACAGAACAGAAAGTCCAGAAATAAAACCAAATATACATGAGAGCTTTGTGGGGATAGAAGCAGAGAAATGATAAACCATAGGGACTCAATGAATAAACTGCATTCAATAAATGGTGTTGAGATTTATACTATTCAGAAAATCAAGAAAAAGGCTGGTTCCTATTTCCTTACACCAAAATAAATTTTATGTGAATCAAAGATTTAAACAAACAAAACTAAAATCACAAAAATTCTAAAATTTTTTGTGTGGGAAAGACATTTTAAGCATGACATATGAGAAGACATAAGGGAAAAGACTGATAATTTTAACCACGCGCACAAAAAAGTTTTAAACATTATGGCAAACAAAAGTGGGTTTAGAATTATCCATGGTATGTGATTTTCCATGGTTTTCTGTGGTTTGGACTTTTTCCATGGTTTGGAATTATTCGTGTTGATGTTTCTCATGGGTAATGAGGAGTAAGGTCATGCGTCCTTGAGTACTGCAGGGGCAGTGCCCAGGGATGAGCTGAGGCTGGAGGTGGCAGGAAGGGAACAGCCACCAGGAGCCCAGCTGCCTCCCCTTCCTCTTGCACTCCTAGCTCTTGCCCACCAGTGGCCCGGGCCTAAACCAGGGCCCCAAACTCCGGGGCCCAGAGGCCCGCAGGCCCTCACTGCTACCCCAAGGCTGCCAGTCCTTCCTGCCCTCTGGCCATGAGACCCAGCCCTGGAGCCTCGTGAAAGAGCTGGATCTTGGGTCCAGCCTGAAGCCTGCCTCAGACAGCCGCAGCCCTGGGGACCTGGGTAAGTGCCTGCAGGGTCTAGGTCCTGACTGGGGACAGGGAGGAATCCTTGGCTGTGGTCCAGCTTCAGATGACAGGCCAAGGACAGATGCTTGCCTCTGTGCCCTTAGGGAGGTGTGGGGGGAGGGTTGGGTCTGCTGCGGCCCATCCTTCCCCCAGGACCTCACCAATCACTCTTCCCAATCAACCTGGCCCTTCGGCTGCCTGTGAGGCCCCCAGATATCCACCCCGCAGCTGCATTCTTGCTGCCGAAAGTGTCCCCACCCCACCCTACCTGACTCCCTCAGGAACTGGTTTCTTGGGACCCGGGTCTGTCTCACTCTTGGGGACAAGCCCATGCCACCCCAGCTGTCCTAGGGAAGGAGTTCTCTGTTCCTTGGGGGATGGGGGGGACTGTACTTGCTCAGGGGTATCTGCGCCCTGGGAAGGACGAGGTCCCCTGGGGATTGCCCTCTGTCCCCAAGATCAGAGCACCAACTCCTTGACCCTCCGCCCCCAGAGCCGTCCCATCACCCCTCCGTCTTCGAGAGCGAGACGTCGTCGGACTGGGAGCCCCAGGCTGAGTCCGAGGAGCAGGCCAGTCCCGGCAGGCCCGCCACCCCAGGCCCGGTGCTGGGCAAGGCTGTGGTCAAGGGGCTGCGCGACAGCCAACGTTTGCAGTGGGAGGTGAGCTTCGAGCTGGGGCCCCCCGGCCCTGAGCGGGGCGGCGCGCGCGACGCCGACCTGTGGAGAGAGACCTTCCACCACCTGGCGGCCCGCGCCATCATCCGCGACTTTGAGCAGCTGGCGGAGCGCGAGGGCGAGATCGAGCAAGGTGAGTGCGCGGGCCTGCGTCCGGCTCGCCGGCCTCTGGCCGCCTCCTCTCACAGCCCCGCCCAACGCCCCCTCCCCCTCCCCCACGATCCGTCCCCGCCCAGTCCCCAGGCCCCGCCCCCTTCACGGCCCCGCCCAGAGCCCTCTCCCCCTCCCCCACGATCCTCCCCCGCCCAGGCCTCCGGGCGGCCCCTCCTCACGGCCCCGCCCACCGCCCCTTCCTTTTCCCCCATAATCCGCCCCCCGCCCAGGCCTCCGGGAGCCCCCTCCTCACAGCCCCGCCCAACGCCCTCTCCCCCTCCCACATGATCCGCCCCCCAGTCGTCCGGGCCCCGCCCCTCCTCAAGCCCCGCCCAATGCCCCCTCCCCCTCCTCCATGATCTGCCCCCCCAGTCCTCTGGGCCCCGCCCCTCCCCACAGCCCCGCCCAACGCTCCCTCCCCCTCCCCCACGATCCGCTTCCTCCCCTGGCTCCAGCCCGCTCCGTCTTCTCACAGCCCTGCCCAATGCCCCATCCCCCTTCCCCCACCATGGTCCACCTCCTCCCCTGGCTTCAGCGCCCTCTGTTTTCTCACAGCCCTGCCACCGCCCAGTGCTCCATCTTCCCTCGCCACCGCTGCCCCTAGGTGCCCCTCCCAACACTCCCTCCCAACACTCCCTCCCCACCACACACACACACACACACAGCCCAAGACGCCATCCCTTCCTTGATCTGCCCACCTGCTCCTGCCTCCAGGCATCCCTCTCCCCCTAGCCCTGGGCTCCTCCGCCCCACCTGGGGATCCAGTGGTCTGTCCTCTCCTCTCCACCCTCCTTCCCTTCTGCCTCAGGATCCCCGCTCCCCCTCACTTCCCAGGGCTTCCCCTTGCAGCGCCCCCTGTAGGGCTCCGGAGACAGAACAATGGGGACAGCCCCATTTCCCCTACTCGGCTGCCCTGGAACCACACCTTCCCACAGAACGGCCTAGACCTAGGGTCCACTACCTCATCAAGGCCGTTAATGATTGTGGATCCGCTGGAGACCAGGCTCGGGGCGAACAGCGCAGTGACCACAAATATCCCCGTCCTTACCCATGAGTGCTTGACACAGACTAGCAAGGAAGCTGACATTAATCAAATAATTATACATGCAATTAATTGAGTGCATTTGTTGGAGGTGCTATTAAGAAACACAGGCATCCAAGAGATTGTATAACAGGGATAGTGGGGGAGCTAACTGAGTTCAGGACTTGGGGCAGACTTTCCTAACAAAGTGACTCTGGGATCTTGATGGGGCACACTTGGAGAATAGATGGATAGAGATATAAATAGAGAATATTTACATTATTTGTTATAAGTTTGTGCTTTATTTATATAATAATATAATGTTTATATTTTATATTATTTGTATTTTTTGTGTAATATATATATTTTTTCTTCTGATGAGCACCTCACCTTTCAAGCTTACAAAGCACTTGTCCATCCATCTCCAGGGCTCCTTGGAGGCAGCAAGCCATGGAGAATGCTCACCTGTTCAGTTGGAAAAGCTTGGGCCTTGGGGTCAGACGGTCCTGAGTCATGATCTCAGGTCCATTACTAACTTGCTGTGTGACCCCGTGCTCGCCACTCTCCCTCTCTGGTTTTCAATTTTCTCTGCAAGTTTGTCCAAATGGGCCAGACCAAAGGTCGCCCCCTACCAGCCAGAGGGCCTGTGAAATCCTGCAGCAAGGTTCTCACCAGACAGCTGCAAAGTGAAAATGGAAAATACAGACAGCACCAAAGGGTTTTTTTAATAACACTAAAGTTATTTAAGGGAAGTAACTGTCTTTTATTCTTAGATCATATCTTACCTTTTTTACATTAAAATGTCTTTATTTTATGAAATGATGATGGAGGTTAATAATCTTGGGGCGGGGGTTGGTGAGGAAGATTGTCCCTGAGTTAACATCTGTGCCCGTCTTCCTCTATTTTGTATGTGGGACGCCTCCACGGCGTGGCTGATGAGTGGTGTAGGTCCTCACCTGGGACCTGGGCTGCTGAAGTGGAGCGCGTGGGCTTAACCACTACACCACTGGGCGGCCCCTCTTGGGGTTTTTTTAATGTCCTTATTTGGCAAGTTGGCAACCCCTTGATTTTCAGGGCTTATTTAATCCTAAAGATGGGGACCACTGGTCTGGTCCTCCTTTTAGCTTCCAGAGTTTCCAGGTCAGGAAGGACTTTCCGAGTCTGCACAGTGACCCCAGCTTCTCTCTTCGCAGGGTCCAGCCGCCGCTATCAGGTGAACGCGGTGCACACCAGCAAGGCCTGCAACATCATCAGCAAGTACACGGCCTTCGTGCCTGTGGACGTGAGCAAGAGCCGGTACCTGCCCACCGTGGTGGGCTACCCCAACTCTGGTACAGCAGGTGGGCAGCCAGGGCACTCCTAAGGCCCAAGCAGCCCCGGTGGGCTGGAGGAGGGGGGCTGGGATACAAAGGTGCACACACCTGCAGGAAGGGGTGCAAGGAAGTGCCTAGAAGCAGCAAGACCCCCAGGAGATGGTTTGGCCACCATGCGGGGGGTGCACATGAGCCCCCATCCACTGCTCTGCAGAAGGCTGTGACACCATCCAGCCTCTTTTTCCCACCAAATGAATATGCCTATATGCCTTTATTGTATTTTTCCAATTGGGGACAATGATATATGCTCACTGTAGAAAATTCCAAAATATAGAAAGACATAAAATAAATAAAAGTGACTTGGTGTCACCATCCTTCAGACTTCCATGACTATCAACATATAGAGAAATGAAAAGATAGATAATTTTGCATGACTTAGATCAACCAATATGTGCTGTGTTTTACAAAATATGGGTTTGGAAAATATCTTTCCATTAAGGTGAGTCTATATCATCATTTTAATAGCTGCAGCATATTCCACTGCAGGGAGCTGTCATCATCGTAACAGCCATTTAGACGGTGTTCCAAAGCGCTTTATGTATATATATATTAAATCATTTAATCCTCAAAGCAGCTCTGCAAGTAGATACTATTATTACCCGCATTTTACAGATAGGGAAACAGAGGCAGAGAAGGTTAAGTAACTTGCCGACAGTCACACAGCAGTGAGGGGCAGAGCTGGGCTCTGAGTCCCAGTGACCTGGCTCCAGCATCTGTGCTCCCTCCCACTGCTCTCCACTGCCTCCTCAGGTGCATCAGAATCTATTTAACCAGCTCCCTATTATCAGACCTTCAGTTTATTCCCTTTTGATTATTGTAAATTATGCCGCAAAGAACATCTTTGTGCACCTGCCTGGTTACCTCCACAGGGTTAATTAACTCTCAGAGGTAAGATTGCATATCAGTGGGTCTGCCCATTTAAAACTGGGCTATATGTTACCAACTGGCCCTGCTCCAAAGGTTGATCCGAGATCCACCCTGGCCAGCACTGAATATTGGCCATCTTCCTAAACCCTGCCAGTCTGATAGGTAACGGAAGGATCTCTCTTTGGGGAATTTCTTTAGTCTTTTCTGAGGTATTTTTCATATGTTTAGGAACTATATGTACTTTTTTCCCCCTGAATTACATTTTCCTGTCCTTTGCAGATCCTTGTTTCTTTCTTTCTTTTTTTAGCAGACCTCCTGAAAGAACTGTGTTTGGAAACAAAATGTGCCTTTCCTCATTCCTCCTGTCCCCCCACCACCACCTTTTTTTTATCTGTGGCACCAAAATAATCAATGACCCATTCTCTTCCTCCCTCTTTCCCTCAACTGCTCCCGTTTCAGGCTCTGGCCAACAGACGCTGCTGGTGCTCCACTGGGCATTCTCCTTCACCGGGCTTAGTCATCATGAATGACATCCTCATTCAGGAGGTCTCTCCCTCCCACCCGTCTCTGACCATCCTCCCAGCGTCTGTAGCCGCAGCCTGGGAGACTCGGGGACCTGGCCTGTATCTTAACCCGAGTCCCACAGCCTAGTCCTAAGATCGGGATCAGCCCTTCCCAGAGTGTGTTCCAGGAAACTAGAACCTTAGTTCCATGTCTTGTTAATGGCCACTCAGCACAAAACTAGGAAATACCAGATTAGGAAATACATTTAGGAACCACTGGATTAAATAAAGCCCAAAAGCTCTCTTTACTGCAGAACTTCTCAGAGACTTTAGGATGTTAATATGCATCAAGAGGTTCAGAGAATGGACTATAGTATGCAGCTTCTCCAAAACCTATTTCCCAATAGAACTCTTTGTTTTTTAAGGGACAACTTATAGTCTAGTGCTCTCCGAGAGGGGGGTTCCCCAAAACACACTTTAGGGTGCTGTAGCTTCATTCTCTTCCATCCCTCCCCCATTGGTGATGCCCTGGGACTTCAAGGGCCTGCTCTGTGAGAGGGGGAGCTGAGACCTTGGTCTCTGAGACAGCAGACCAGGAGAGCAGGAAAATGGGGTGTTCCTGAGAAACCAGCCTTTTAACTAACTGGAAAACGTTGCTGCTTTCTGAACATTATCTCAGCTATAGTATCTACCGGCAAGGTGGTATTATTACTCCCATTTTCCAGATGAGGACACTGAGGCTCAGAGTGGTTAGCACTCCACCCAGCTACTAAGAGATGGGGCTTGGGTTCAGACACTGGTCAGTCTGGCTCCAAAACTCATGGGCTTACCTTGTACAAGGCCTTCCTGCCTTTGGATAATTGACAGACTGAAGCTAGAATCATTCCTGCCAGCCCTGGGGAAGAGGCAAAGGACTGGCACCATTGTACCCGTCTGACCACTTCTCCTTGTCCTCGGGAAGGTGCTGCTTTGCGGATGGTCAGCTCTCGGGTCCTGACCCGACAGTGGAGGGGCACCTCTGCTGGCTTCAGACGGTCGCAGACCCTGCTTGGGGAAGCCTCAGCAGCAGGAGATGGCAAATTTCAGAACCCAGGTAAGAGCCGCCATTGACACAGCTTCGCCGAGAGCAGCAGGCTCCCGTGCCCACACCAGGCCCCCAGCTCTCCCTTTTCAAGGCCCGCCAACCCCAGCGGCTGTTCCCTGCCTCCAGCCTGCGCCCCGCCCCCCAGGCACCGAATGCCGGGAAACCTAATAAACAAGAGAGAAAGCAAAGAGAAAAGAGGCATTTCCATCTGTTTCTTTCAGGATTCCCAGCAACTTCCTTTCTGCCTTCAGCTGATTTCATTGTGCCTGCAGCTCGAGTCCTTGAGATCCAGGATTTGAGCTGTTTGTGACCTTGCACTAATTCACAGGATGGCTTTAACCCTCTGTGTCTTGAATGTCTGCGTGTTTTTCTATTCCTCTAAAGACAGCCTAACTGCTGCACTAGTCCTAACCCCTTCCTTGATGCCCTCACGTGTACAATGTGGATCTCCTGCCTTCTTCTGTGCATGGGGAGGACATCAGAGGTCCCACCTGGCTACAAGTCCAGGCAGCCAGATCATAACAACTTTTTACCTAAGGGCCTAGAGAGTGCTCTCAGACACTGATGGGTTAAGAAAGAAATAGTGTGCGAGGGGGTGGAAATCCGGAGGAGTTCTTTAGAATTAAGGAGTTCTGCCAACTCCTTGGTCCCTCAGAGCCTCCAAAACGGGGGGGAACCTGCTCTACCCCCGAGCCAAGCTGGGCTTCCAGTCTAGGGGAAATTACCAGTCTACCCTTTCCTTTCTCTGTAGCTCAGCTCTTGGTGGCCCATGGCTTCCATCGAAATCACAAATCCCTTCTTTTCAATCATCCTCTGAGTCACACCCAGCATCTCGGACTTCTAAACTCTTATTCTCTCACAAGCCCTTTCCCTCCCCAGGGATGACAATGGCTAACACGTCCCGAGAGTTCTCTGTGTGCTTGGCACTGCTCTAATTATCCATGACTCCTCACACCCATCTCAGAGTTTCTTTTATTTTCTCCACTAAGAGATGAGGACATTGAGGCTCAGAGAGGTTAAGTGACTTACTCAAGATCACACAGCTGATATGTGGTAGAGCCAAGACCTGAACCCAGGCAGTATCTGGCTCCAGAGCCCACGAGGTTAATCACCATGCTGTCTGCCTCCTTATTGCCTCCGTCAGTCTGTCGTTCAGTCACTAGCTCCCTCTTGTGCTGCCCCCGAGGACACAGCAATAAACAGAGCTTCTTGGCTCTCACAGAGCTACTGACGATCTCATAGGGGAGCCAGAGGCTTTGGTGAACGTATTTGTGCATGAAGTTTTTTCCATAATTTGGATTATTCCCTTATAGTATATTGCCCATCTTTTTCCAGCCCTTGAAATAACAATCATAAGAACAATCACCTCAATTATGCATTTCGAACAAACTATGTGCAATTATTATCCCCATTTTACAGATGGGGAGACTGAGGCTCAGAGCCCCCTGACAAGTCAGTGCCATGTTCTGTTGCCTCCTGGAGAGCTGCCATGGGGCCCTCCTCAGTGAGGCACAGACCTGGTGAGCTGATGCCCACCTTGCTCCCATCCCCAGCCCCCACCCCCAGGCCCCTGACCTGCTCCTGCCTCCTGGCTGGATCTGGAGCTCAGGGCTTTATTGAGTGTTACCTCTGGCCAGGCAGTAAGCACTATCTGTGTATTATCTCATCTCATCCTTACAACAACACTGTGAGATACTATTATCCCCAATTTGCAGTTGAAACTTATCAAGCAAGTAACTCTCCCATGGTCACACAGCTAGTCCATGGGGAAGTCAGGATTTGAACCCACTGTCTGACTCTTATGGTGGAGCAGTGGTGGTGTCTTTGGAAGATGAAGGCCCCTCCAAGCAGGGATGGAAACCCTAGCCTTGCTCTCCCAGCCCACCCCCAGGTACTGTGAATCCAGACCATCGCTCTCTTTGTGGCGATGGGAGGTGAGAGAGAGAGCTGGCGGCTCAGGCCTCACCAGCTTCCTCTGTTGTAGGTGTGGAGGAAAGCCCCACTGGGCCCTTCAGTGAGACCATGTCCCCGGACCGCGAGAAGTACGCTGCTTCTGAAGGTGAGTGGACAGTCGGCCGCCTCTCTTCTTAATTGACAGAGTGACAGTGATTGATCCTTCAGCCAAGAGAGTGTCTTAGCCTAACAAAGTCCTCGGTGGTCCATTTATTTCTCAAAACAGCCCTTTGTGAGGTAAATAGGAACATCCCCAATTTAAAGATAAGGAAACTGAGACTCAGAGAGGTGAAGTGACTTGCCCAAAGTCACACAGCAAGTCAGTAACAGAGCTGGGCCTGGAATCAGGCCTCCCAATTCCCAGCTGAGGGCCTTCCTGCCACCTCACTCTGCCTAGAATCCTCCAGCAATGTGCCGGGGAAGGAAACTCCATGTCCCCACTTGGGGACAAGGGGGGTTGATGCAAAGCTGTCACTGCCCCCACAGGTAACCTTCCAGAAGATGCCAGGGGCCACCAGCCAAGGAAACTTAGAGCCTTATTTCTTACACATGGACCCACTTATTTCACCCTTCCCCAGACCATCTGTGTCAGAAACAGCCCTGCAGCCTAATGATTAGCTCGGCTCCCTAGGGATGTAGGCAAGCCTCTGCCCCTCACTGGGCCTCTGTTTCTCCAGCTGGGCAGTAAATGTGGGACAGGGTTATCTGTCAGGCCCCAACTGTCATTCTGTGGCCCTCCAGGTCCCCTGCGCAGTCTGGCCACCAATACCCTCTCTTCCTTGAAGGCCTCGGAGACTCTCTTTGGATCCAGGTACATGGGATTTGCACTGGGGGTACACTGTACTGCCGCCCGTTTTCCCGGGGCTGTCCCTGGTTTGGAAGGCCAAAGGCAAGCCCAGCCTGACATTTAGACAAAAATAAACAATCTGAAGCGTGTCAAGAAGGCCCCCCTACCCAGAGATACCGCTGTCTTCTGGGCATCACACGGGAAAATCCCCCCCATGTGGTTCATCTCCCACATGTCCATGGTCTCTTTGCAAATGCAGATCCCCCTGGGAGGGCTAGCATAGGACCCTCTGACCACTGGGCTGAACAAGAATACGCTATCAGAAGAGGGTCATAAAAGGAACCCTAACCTGCTCCTCATCCAAGCTCCTACTAGCTCCCTGAGTGACTCAGGGGAAATGCAGCCTCCCCCAGCCTCAGTTTCCCAAGTTGTCAAATGAGAAGGTTGGAGGAAGCCATTGGTCAGATTCCTTCTGGCCCTGACTTTCAGAGGCTGCTGAGTGGGCACTGGGGGAGCGGGATAACTAGGGACACTGCCAGGGTGGCTATGGCCACTCTTCCCGGCTCTCCCCTCACAGGCTGAATCTCAACAAGTCCAGGCTGCTGACGCGGGCCGCCAAGGGCTTCCTGACCAAGCCGCTGACCAAGGCTCCAGAGTCGACCCCGGGGAGCCAGTGCTTCGACTACGTCCCACTGGTGAGTGCCCCAGACCCCAGATCTCAGTCTCCGGACACTCTGCAGAGGGGCCTTCCTGGGAGCGTCCCGCCCGCCCGCCCTTCCCCCTCCACAAAGGGAAGAAGACCTAGACCTTCCCACCCAAGTAGCCAGCAGGGCAGAGGGAGTTTGTATCAGTCCCCCGACCCGGGGTCTAAGAGTGTTGCTAGTAGCCAGCACCAGCATCACGAATATTCTTTGCAATCTGCTGTCTTCGCTTTAAAAATTCACAGGAATTTTGCATTCTACTCCACCATCTATGTGTGTCTGTTTTTCAATACATAAAAATAAGCCTTGAAATGACTCACAAGCAAGTAAAATTAACACGCCAGGGACATGCACCGTGTTTAGCAATGGCTCTGCAGACACCCAGCACGTTGTGGCAGGGTGAGAAGCCCAGGCCTGGAGTAGGCGTCTCTCAATGGAGGAGCAAGGGAGCCTGGCCTGCCACATGCGGGGCTCAGCGGGGCTGGGGGATCAGAGGGTGCTGGAAGGAGGGACACGGTTTGAGTTTCACTGCACAGCTCCAGTCCCTGAACCCCCAAGCTCACAGCGTCATTTTGAATTTCCAAATATCCCAGGCAACAAAGTACCATGCATATATTCACTCAACAAGTATCTGTTGAGCCAGACAGTGCTAGACCCTGGGAGAGAACCTGGAACTAGATGATCACAGTCCCTGAGCTCATGGCACTAAGAGTCTAGTGGAGACACAGACAGGAACCAGGCGATTCTGATCCTCGGGTGCTGTGACAGGAGAGGTCGGGTCTGGTGGGGGGACTGAGGGGAACACCTACTCCAGGCTTGAGGTCGGGGAGGAATGAAGCGTGACTTCCTGCAGAATGTAATGATTACGCCGAGACCTGAAGGATGAGGAGTTCCGGCCGACAGCCTAGAGAGGAGAGAGAAAGCTGGATGGCTGGAGAACGGGGTTTGAGGGGGAAGGGCCAAGGATGAACCCGCACTTTGGAAACCATAGTTTGGACTTAGTCTAGAGAAAATTGAAGCCACTGATCTAAGGTATAGAACATGATCTATACCTTACAAAGACCTCTCAGGATGCAGGAAAGATGGAGTGGGGGGTGGGGACAGGGGAGGAAGGTAGAGGCAGGGACAACATGAGGAGGCAGGTGGGGGATTGCAGAGCTGTTTAGAAAGTAGACCTGCTGGGACTTGGAAACTGGTTGGTGTGGAGGGAGGGAGAGGGAGGTGAGCCGTCCAGAGTCTGCTGGACAGCAGGGGACGGTCCCAGTGGCCAAGCTGGACCCCCCTGCCCAGGACAGGATGCAGGTTTGGAGTGAAGATGTTGAGTTGGGCTTGAAGAGTGATCCGTGCCTGTGAGATAAAGCATGGACTTGACTCAGTTGCCCTGGGTATCCCGCAAGCAAATCCCACAGGTAGGCGGGGCGAGCTGGGGGAGATGAAAGGGTGGGCTATGGGGACCCAGGACTTTTGCATGGCCTGGGGCTCCACGGGCTAAAAAGTTTGAGGCCCACTGAGGGGCTCCCCCACACACAGGTATCTCTGCAGCTGGCCTCCGGAGCCTTCCTGCTCAACCAAGCCTTCTGCGAGGCCATCCACATCCCCATGGAGAAGCTCAAGTGGACCTCGCCCTTCACCTGCCACCGAGTGTCCCTCACCACCCGCCAGCCCGAGTCTAAGACCCTGAGTCCCCAGCTGTGCACCAGCGCCTCGCCTCAGCACCCCTCCTGTGACAGCTTCTCCACGGAGCCCCTGGCGGAGGGCAAGCCAGGCTGGGAGCCCACGGCTGTGACAGAACTCACAGGGAAGCTGTGGGCCACGGTGGTGGCGCTGGCATGGCTGGAGCACAGCTCGGCCTCCTACTTCATTGAGTGGGAGCTGGTGGCCGCCAAGGCCAACTCGTGGCTGGAGCAGCAGGAGGTACCCGAGGGCCGAAAGCGGGGCACACTCAAGGCTGCCGCCCGCCAGCTGTTCGTGCTCCTGCGGCACTGGGACGAGAACCTGGAGTTCAACATGCTCTGCTATAACCCGAATTACGTGTAGTGGGGGGAAGGAGGGAGGCTGGGGCAGGGGAGAAAAGGAAGGGGACTCTTTGGGCCTGGTGGGGGGTACTTTTGAAGCTGTAGTCAATATATTGGTTCCTAGAAAGAGCCCTAGACTGGCAGTCGGGAGGCCTGAGTTCAGTCCCAACTTTGCTACCACCTAGCTGTGCAACTTTAGGCCAGCCCCAGCCCTCTGTCTGAGCCTCAGTTTCCCCACCTGTAAAATAAGGTGAGGTGAGGGAGCTAGACCAGATCTCTAGAAGGTTCAAAGGTTCCTTTCTGCCCGGACATGTGGGCAGCCGTGGGGTGTACTGCCACTGGGGGTGGAGAGAGAGAATACAATTTAAACCTGAGCTCTCTCTGGAGGAGGATCACATGGGCAATGCCCCCATCAAATGAAAGGGTGGATGAGCGAACCCAAAGATTGCAAGTAGCCAGATCTGCAAGCTTTGCGTCTAGGCCCCGGGAGACCTGCTGCATTGTGGGATAGGCACCTGTCTCCATGGTGACAGTCCAGGACCCCTAAATCACACTTACAAACCTACCGGAGAACCATCCTTCCCAACACTTTAAGAAAGTGTCACCCAGGGGCCTTTTCTTTTGGCTTGGAAGCCCTTAGTATATTTTAGTACAGGTTTGCAGATTATCTGTGACTTTCTGTCTAAGAAGAGGAGGTGGGCAGGACAAGGGGAGACGCCCCTGCAGGCCAAGGTGTTCGAATTAAGCCGAGGTCTGTGCAAAAATAGGCCAAAAAGAAAGACATGGTCACAGAAGTCAGTGGAGAAACCAGACGATGCCTTAAATAATTTACACATTTGCAGGAATTGGGTAACACGAACTCTATCCACTTGCGCTGAGGGGCTAAAGAGGCATCTTGTGTCAGCTGCATTCTGAGACGCTGGGGGCCCGCTCTAGCCATGCCACACTGCGGGGGAGAAAGCCCTCTTGGCAACAGAGAATGATGGTTGGCTGCAGTGCACTTGGGGAGGCATCGTCAGCTGGGAGGCATGGTTTATTCAATGAAATGAAGATTCTGGAAGTTTCATAGCAGAGAGCCCCTGGGGACTTCCCTCTCTCAAGCCCACCATGTGATCCCACGTGGTGACGGGTGTGTCACAGCCTCAGTTTCCCTCGTGGCTGGTGCCCAGTCACCTCTGCCCCTCAGACTCCCCTGGACCTGGGTCTGGACCTCACCAAGGAAGCCCACCAGTTTGGGATCCCAGGCTGAAATGGCACCCCCCGCACTCCCCCTCTGTCCAGGGGCAGAGAGGGAGGGGTCCAGCAGAACGCCCATCGGGTATGGAGAAAAGGCAGCCCCAGCAGGATGTGGTACCCTGGCCCACACACCGCCCACCCCTCTATGGGAGCCCTGCCCTGCCCTCCAGCCATGCTGCAAAATCTCCGAGGAGGAGCTCACCACACTGCCTTTCTGAGGCTCTCACAAAAATCCAGTGATCCGTCCACAAGGGAGGGGAAGGGGCTGGAGACTTAATATGAATCCCATCTGCTGCTTGGCTGACTGCTCTGCTTCAGACTCACCCTCTGGGGAGGAACCCAGCGGGGCAGTCACCAACACCATGGCCACCACCACCCCCGGCGGAACAGGGTGCCCGTCTGGAGCGTTGGCTCAAAGTCAGCGCCACCCAGAGGGACAAGGGATTTAGGCTCTCTTGCTGGAGGCCTCAAGCAGGTTTGAGGACAGCCTTATATCCCTGCACACCTTCCCTACCCATCCGCCCCAAAATAACACTCCTGCAGCTGTGCAGCCAGCAGCCCCAGCTTCAGGGTAAGGAGGGAGGGCGTGGAGCCCCTCCTTGGCCCACCCATAATGGAAACATGTCGGGCTGAGAGTTGGAAGGCCTGGCACTAGTTTGGGCCAGTGGCTTCCCCTCTCTGGGCACCCTGGAGCTGGGGGGCTTCCCTGTGCTCTGACATTCCCAGATTCTCTGCCTCTGAGATGTTTTCCTCTTAGCGACCACAGACTTGCTCTGATTGTCGGTGTGACCTTGAACAAGTCTCGTGTGCTTTCTGGGCCTCTTTCCTCTTCTAGCACAACCAGGTTGGACCGGGCTGCCCAGCCCCGCAATTAACTGGATTCTGGGTCTCCAGGCTCAGTGTGGACAATGACCAGGGCTCAAGGGGGCCCAGCACCTGCACAGTGTGGCACTAGTGCTGCCAGACGCCTGGAAGGAGTAACCGAGGAATCCAGCACGGCGGTGGGCACAACACTCCCCTTCTCCTGGGACCCTCCTCAGACCCTGCCCCAGGAGCAGCTGCTGGAGGTCTGGACAATTCTGATGCACATGTCAATTGCTGATCCCCGCACCCCCCGGCTCCCCTGCCCAGCACCCAAAGGTGCAGAGGAACAAATCTTCATTGATTTCAAGTAACCCAGGGGCTTTTGGGGACATCTGGATAAGAGACATTTCTTAAAGAACTTTAGTGGTATTGAGCTGACACGCTGTCTCAGGAATCTGCCCCCAGGATTGCCCAGCAGAGGAGGGAAGGGACTAGCTTTAAGGAAAAGATAAGAATCTTAGTAATTAGCACATGCACTGAAGCTAAAGCAATTCCAAAGGCTCTCAAGTAGGTGAAACTTGGCCCCTGCGCTCCGGATTAATTTGGATTAATCTGAATTCTTTGTTAAACTAGCCCTTGCTTTCTAGGTCATGCAAAGCGACATTTATGCCCTGCCTGGCTGAAGAGTCAGGGGAGTACAAATGTCTAGTGGCATGTCCAGCAAAGCCTGGCCTTCAGTGAGAAGGACACTCAGCCCAGACCTGGGGAATTTAAGTGTTGGTCTAAACCCCACCACCAGTGTGCTATGTGACTTTTGGCAAGTTGCTTGCTTTCTCTGGGCCCTGGTTCATCTTTTATAGAATGATGAGGTTACACTAGATTAGCACCTGAACATATCGGGTGCTGTTCCTGTCCTGTTTGGAGCTGGGTGAGGAGCATTTGAAGAATGTCTGCTCCGTGAACCACTGCCCCACTCCCTGGTGTTCCCATTGGGTGTGTCTTGACTGGCCACTTCCCCAGCCTGTGGTCCTGCCGTCTGTGGGTGTGGCCTCAGACTGGCACTGTCTAGGCACCATGGGCACTGATGGCCAGCCCCCGGAGCTTCCAGACACTCACGCTGGTGGAGTAGAGCTGACCACAGCAGCCCTGCTCTTGTGCAGCCAGCGTGGAGGCAGTGCGGGACTTCCCCGGCACTCCTGCTGTGGGTTTCCTTGTCCAGGGGGAGCAGGGCAGTCCCTGCAACAAAGCACCCAAGGGTCCAACCTCCTGCCACACACAGAGGCAGAGTCCTCTCTCTGAGCCCCCTGAGCTGAGGAGACCGACTCCAGATGCTGGGAAAACTGGGCCCCCACTTGGCCTGACGTACCCTGGACGTGTAATTAAGCAGCTTCGGTTTGCAGCCAGCACTTCTGTTTTCCCAGCTTGTCCCTGCCTGTGACAAAACGAATGACACCTACTGTCTGCCACTGCTGTGACTGATGAATGGAATAGCTGGCCCCAAGACCAGCTGCTGGTGGGTTTCACCTGCTCCTCAGGTGTTTGAGAAAGCAAAGGTTCCTCTTCCTCCCCCCCAGCTGGTTTACCTGGAACAGCTGTCAGAAAAGGTTTCTGGAAGTTTCCTCTAAATCCTGTCGTGCCCCTGTGGGTCCCTACCTTTATTTGAAGGCTGTTTCTTCCTCTCTTGGCTACTGTTCCCCTTCTCTCTTCCTTGGCAGGGACTCCCAATGAGAGCAAGTGAGCTTGAAAGGGTCTCCCCCATCTGTGTGCAGCCTCCCCCTGGTGACTGGCCACCTATTCACCTGCCTGGCTGGAACCTGTGTGACCCTCCAGCACGTGCTGTTGTGGGGTCCACATGCCGTTCTCTCTACTTGCATAGTGGAACATCTCCAAGTGGTCCCCAGACACAAATGCATCCTTAGTGCCCTGGGAAAGGAACAAGAAGGGCATTGCTACCCAGGAATGGGTTGTCTATTCATTGCCGTGGCATTTGGAAGATCTTTTTTTTTTTTTTACCAACCTAGCAGGGACTAGAGAAATCAACAACAACAACAAATGGGCACATTCCTCTGCTGTAGCATGCTCCGCAGCGCCAGAGTAAAAATAACCAGGGCAGGGGCATGAGCGGCATTTTGCAGCTGGATAAGCTGATCCGCAGAGATCACTCCTGAGGTCAGGAGCTTGGCAGCATCTCCAGGCCGGACCCCAGTCCCCTCCCGTGGCGCTCCCTGGCCCCTGCGCTCACCCGGTCCCCAGCCTGTGGACTTCAGCCTCTCAACAGCACTGCCTCCCAGGTCACCTGACGAAGTAGGAGTTCTCCTGTTCATGCTGCAAATCTCCTTGGCCCGGAGCCAGCTGTCTTGAGCTTACAGCCGCTTCCCAAGGCAAAGCGCCCCGTCTCCATGTGGTCCAATGTGGTGACACACGCCGTGTAGTTTCACTATTGGCCCAGGTGGCTTTGGCTCAAGTAGCATGGCCGGTGCTTGTACCCCTCCAAGCCTCAAGTGCCTACAACGTGCTGTCCCATCCCCTTGCCTGCTCACCCAGAATGTCCCCACGGTGCCTGTGCCACCTCTTGCTCTTGGAACACATGTCGCCTTTTTGACCGGTAGCCGATTATGTAGACATTGTGGAAATCCTGGACGTCAGCCGTCTCGTGTCCACCAACAACTAGCAAATCACACCCCAAGGCTGTCTGCGTGTGTCTGTTCTCAAGGGAATGGCTTATTTGTAAATGGTGGCTACTGTTCTCTCAAAAGCATTTAGTCATAAAAACTGTTGAACCTGATCATATGACAAAATTATACTTGTGTCTGCTCTTTTGTTCTCAAAGGTGATACTTGGCTTTCAAACTAATGGTTCAAGGATCTGTTTGCCTCGTTTAGTGTGGTCACATCTGTCTTGGTTTGGGTTCCCCTGAGGATGGTCAACTGTCCCAATTTGCCTGGGACCAAGTCGGTCCGGGGGGGCAGGGGGGTGTCCCAGGATGTGAGACTTAGTTTGAAAACTGGGACAATCCTGGGAAACTCGGGACAAGTTGGTCACAGTAGTTCCCCCAGAAGCAGAGCCTGAGATAAGGATTCAGTGCAAATAGTGTATTTGTGTGATCCCAGAAAACTCCC